GCAATAAATGCCTACATTAAAAAAAAGAAGATCCAGAATCATTGACTTAAACCAACAACCTGAACAAATAGAAAAAGAATTGCAAAAGAAGCCAGAAGCTATCAGAAAAAAAGAAATAATAAAGATCAGGGCACAAATAAACAAAATAGAAAAACAAAACCAGAAGTTGGTTCTTTGAAAGGATCAATAAAATAGACAAACCACTGGCTAGACTGACAAAATTAAAAAAGAATAGAAGAGGCAAATAACTAACTTAAGGAAGGAAATTGGTAACACTACAACTGCTGCAACAGAGATAAAGAAGATCATAACAGATTAATATGAAAAAATTGTACTTCAACAAATTTGAAAAGCTAAATGAAATGGAAGAATTCCTAGAAACACACTACCTACCCAAACTAACAGAGAGGTACAAAATTTAAACAGACCCATTACAAGAGAAGAGATAGAAAGTATTAAAAAAACTGCCAACAACAACAAATCCCAGGTCAAGATGGCTATACTGGAGAATTCAACCAAAGATGCAGGGAAGAGAGACACCAATCTTATTCAATCTCTTCAAAAAACAGTACTGAACTCTTTCTATGAAGCCAGCACAACCCTGATATCTAAACCAGGCAAAGACATCCTAAAAAAAGAAAAATACAGAGCAATATTCCTTATGAACATAGATGCAAAAATTTTTCAATAAAAGTCTGGCCAACAGACTTCAGCAACATATCAAAAACAAATGAACAAACAAATAAACAAAACATACACCATGATCAAGTGAAATTCATACCAGGATTACAAGGGTGTTTCACTATTAGAAAATCAACCAATGTAATCCACCACATAAAAAAAAACAAAGGAAAAGAACCATATGATCATATCAATTGATGCAGAAAAGGCATTTGATAAAATTCATCACGTTTTCCTGATAAAAACTCTCAGCAAAATAGGAATAGAAGGGGATGTTTTCAACATAATTAAGGACATGTATGCCAACAGCCAACATTATACTCTAGGGAGAAAGGCTGAGAGCCTTCCCTTTGAAAATGGGACCGAGACAAGGATGTCCATTATCACCACTCTTATTCAGTCTTGCTGGAAGTCCTACCCAGAGCAATAAGACAAGAAAGAGAAATAAAAGGTATCAAAACCAGAAAGGAAGAAGTAAAACTATCTCTATTTGCAAATAACATCATCCTATATACAGAAGACCATAAAGATTCCACAGGAAAACTGCTGGAACTAATAGAAGAATTTAACAACACTGAAGGGTATAAGATCAACCCACAAAAATCAGTTGGGTTCCTCTACACTAATAAAGACTAATCCAAAAAATAAATTAAAAAAAATACCATTTACAGTAGCCTCCAAATTGATAAAATATCTAGGAATTAACATAAACAGGGGCATAAAAGACTTATACAATGAAAATCATAAAACGCTACTACAAGAGATTAAAAGAGACATACAAAAATTAAAAGACATCCTGTGCTCATGGATTGGCAGACTTAATATAGTCAAAATGTCAATTCTACCTAAAGTGATCTACGGATTCAATGCAATCTCGATACAAATCTCTACAACATTCTTCAATGAAATTGAAAAACTAATGACCAACTTCATATGGAAAGGAAAGAAACCCTGAATAGCCAAAGCAATATTAAAGAAAAAGAACATAGCAGGAGGCCTCACACTCCTCAGTATCAAAACATACTATACAACCACTGTAATAAAAACAACCTGGTATTGGTTCAGCAATAGAAACACAGACCAGTGGAATAGAATTGAGAACTCAGAATTAAACTCAGCCATCTACGGATAACTGATTTTTGACAAGGGGTCAAAGTCCATTCAGTGAGGCAGAATCAGTGTCTTTAATAAATGGTGCTGGTAAAACTGGAAATCCACCTGCAGAAAAATGAAACAGGACCCATTCTTCACAGCATACACAAAAACTAACTCAAAATGGATCAAAGACCTAAATGTTAAATCTAAAATCATAAAATTTCTGGAAGAAAACATGGGATGAAAACTATGGGACCCAATATTTTGTAAAAATAGGATAACAAACATTACAACAAATTCATGACTAAAAGAAGACAAAATAGATAAATGGGATCTTATAAAAATTAAAAACATATGCTCATCAAAAGACTTTATTAAAAGAGTAAATAGCAAACCTACAGACTGGGAAAAAATCTTCAGAAACAAGTTATCCAATAAGGATATAATCTCTAAAATCTATAGAAAACCGCAACAACTCAACAACAAAAAGACAACCCAATCACAAAATGGGCAAAGGACATGAACAGAACCTTCACCAAAGAGGACATCCAAGTAGCCAAAAACATATGAAAAGATGTTCACGATCATTAGTCATTAGAAAGATGCAAATCAAAACTATAATGAGATACCAACTGTGATGGTTAAGATTTTGTGTCAGTTTGGGTAGGACATGATTCTCAGTGTTTCAGCAATCGTATAACATCATCACTTCAATGTTGAGATTTGATATGTGATCACTCCCATGTTGGGATCTGCTGTGAGTAGCCAGTCAGTTGAAAGGAAGTTTCCTTGGGCTTGTGGTCTGTATTGATATAAGTGGACATTCTGGCAAGGCTCAGGGGCTTTTTGCTCATGCTGGATGCTGCAGCTGGCTTCTGTTCATCTGACCTCCAGTTCTTGAGACTTGAGCTAGCAGCTTGTCTGCGGTTTTACCTGCCGATCTTGGGTTCACCAGCCCCTGCGGCTACGTGAATCAGGAGAAGCCTCTATCCTGACCCACGGACTTTGGACGTTCCAGCCTCTACAACCATGTGAGCCATTTCCTTGATATAAATTTCTCTCTCTCTATATATATATATGTATTTATATGCTTTACTGGTTTTGCTTCTCTAGAAAACCCAGCCTAAGACACCATCTTACTTTGGCTAAATGGCACTGATTTAAAAAAGAAAACCCCACAAAAACAGATAACAAATGTTGGCCAGGATGTGGGGAGACTGGAACACTTATCCACTGCTGGTGGGACTATAAAGTGGTGCAACCACTGTGACAAATGGTATGGTGCGTTCTCACAAAGTAGAAATAGAACTACCCTATGATACAGCAATCTCACTCCTAGGTATATACCCTAAAACAAAAAACCAAACCCATTGCTATCCAGTTGATTCCAACTGATAATGACCCCATAGGACACAGTACAACTGCCCCATACAGTTTCCAAGAAGCAGCTGGTGGATTCAAACTGCTGACCTTCTGGTTAGCAGATGAGCACTTTCACCAGTGTGCCACCAGGGCATCGATATATACCCTAGAGATCTAAAAATAATACCATGAACAGACATATGCACACCTATTCTCATTGCTGCTTTATTCATAATACCAAATAAATGGAAATAACTAAAGTTTCCATCAGCGGATGAATGGATAAGCAAATTGTGGTACATACATACAGTGGAATACTGTGCAACCTAAAGAACAATGGTGAGCCCACGAAACATACTACAATATGGATAGACCTGGAGGGCCTAATGCTAAGTGAAATAAGTCAAGCATATAAGGACAAATATTGTATGATCACTCTTTTATAAGAAGACAAGGATAAATATAGAGAGACCAATGTTCATTGGTAGTTACAAGGGAGAGGTGTGGGGAAAGTACGCTTTGTACAGTAGAGGCTAGTTATTGTTGGTGATGGGGAAAGTGGCATCAAATGTGGATGTAGTGAGCACAGCACAAGCAAAGTAAAAACGAACATTTGAGCACATATGGATGGGTGTAGGCAAATTAGTACACAGATAGGTAGAGATGTGTATATAGGTGAGAGCAGATAGAAGTATCTATAGGAATCTGTACATACAAACATGTGGGTGCAAGCACATATATTTAGTGAAGACACAAATACTAATATTCCTCAGACATAACCAAACACCTTCTAACTGTGGTTTTCTGGATTTGAAGGCTCAGGACCACAGTCTCATGGGACAACTCAGACAATTGGTATAACATAGTCCACAAAAATCATGATCTGCATCCGAGTGAAGTGAGTAGTGTTTAATGTCTTAAAAGCTTGTGAGTGGCCATCTAAGACATAACTATGAGTCTCTACTCACTCGGAGCAAAACAGTAAGAAAACAGCCAAAAGCACAGAGAAGAAACAAGTCTACATGAGCCACAACCTCATCTACTCTGAGACCAGAAGAAGTAGATGATGCCCGGCTTCCACCACTGAACATTCTGACCAGGGTCACAATAGATGGAGCAGAACTCAAATTCTTATTAAAAAAAGAAAAAAGGCAGACAACCTGGAAGAGTAGAGAACAGAGCACTCCCTGAGACTATTGCCCTGAGACGTTTTATAAACCTAGAACCTAGCCTTGCCCTGAGATCACCTTTTAGCAAAATAGCAGAGTGGCACACAGAATAAAGGATATTACTCATAAGATCAACGCCTTACTTCAAAACCATCAGTATCAGACCAAAAGGTCAACAATTACTCAAACACAAAGATGAGAAAATAAAGGGGCAGGGAAACTAGAGTATTGGAAAGGGAACAAACTAAATACAATTAAAAAGAATGCCGACACGTTGTGATAAACTTAACTAACGTCACTGAACAATTTGTGTGGAAATTGTCAAATGGGAACACAGCAAGTTACACTTGCTGTGTAAACTTTCACCAAAAATTCAATAAAATATTTTAAAAAAAGAAAAAGAATAAGAGATAAAACTGGAAAAAGCTGGGGTCACACAGTGGAGGACCTTTAATGCTAAGGTGGGAGTTTTGTAATTAATTCAGTTGTCAGAAAGGAGGCATTGACATTTCTGAGCAGCATAGTCCACACTCAGAATGTCAGGAATAGGTCTTTGAGAGATATAGCAGAGTTAGGGTGGAGAGACAGAAAGCAGCAAAAACTTTCTAAAGATACTTCAGCAATAAAGATTTTAATTAGTATTTCCTTTTAATTAGATCTATTACATGCATAATTTATACAGAGAGAACATACTTGCTTGTGTCCAAGTCTTGGAGTCTCTTATGGAACTTAGAAGCAATTTCTGTAAAATTCTTCACTGCAGTAAAAAGTGAATCTGAAATAGAAATTAGGACCATCAAAAGCTTTAAGAACATACTTTCTAAGAGCATTGTTCTATTGTTTAAACAAAGGGAACAATATAGAAAGCCATCCTCTGTCCTTTACTATTTTACAAGTTATTTATAGTTTGAATATTACAAGCCGTGAACATCAGTGAAATGGAAAACACCTTTGTAGATATAAACAGGACATTTGATCATATGGAATCAAAGTAATAAACGAATCTAAGGTAGGTATTACATTTTATAGATTAATGAGAACATATAGGTGCAACATACCAAATGATACATTGTATGTTTTCATTTCTTGTGAATGTTTCATTGAAATATTGTAGATCTTGTCAGCATAATTTCGTAAAACTACAGCATACTTTCGACAGTCAAATGGGAGCACCATGGAGTTGGCTAGTTCAAACACTATCCCGCCTCGAACCTGGGCCACAGTGAGGTGATATTTAAATGTTGGATCATAAAATTTCTCCACCAATTCATATGTTTCGTAGACACTGTGATACAGTGGATAGTTACTGAATTTGCTTGTTGTCTACAAAACAAAAAAACAAAATATATCTCTTACTAGACAATCTATAATAAAATGCATAAAACCTCATTTATTATTAATATTAGTATGAAAGTTTTGGTCAGCAATGAATAAAGAAAAGTACGTAGCACCTCAATAATCTGCTTACTAAAGGGCTAGTAGTATAGTATTCAAACACAATCTAGGCTTGTACCAATTAAAATATATATGTATATAATATAAATAATTATTATAAAAAATTCTTTTGGAAAGACCTAGAATGTTTGCCTTTAAGTATGTAAGAGATGTGGGAATGTTTTAAGAATCTGACATGAAGACAAGACATTGCATTTGAGTAAAAATAATTTAAGAAGACAGTGAGTAAATAAGCACTGCAAAATATTACACAGAGTAATACAGTAAATTTCTTAATCACTGAAATGTCATGGTTGAATGGTTCTCTGACAAGCAGTATACTGAAAAATGGAGAGTCAGAACACTGAGGGGTTCGGTGGTGAATTCAAAACCTCATTAAAGAGAGAGAAGGAATGCTCAGAGAGGTTAAGAAAAAAATAAGAATATACAAAAGGTAAGAGGGAAGGACCTTTCTGGTTGGGAATTGTTGATTTAGTCTCTTTGACTACTGTTTGGAGGCTCTTGTTTTTTCTTATTGGTATGTGAGAACATTTTATATAGGTATGTGTTGAACTGATTGGGACTCTGGAATAAGCTGGCCCAGGCTTTAGGACTTATGGCCAACAAACTTGGTATGGTCACTTAACCTTTCTTTGCCTTAGTTTTCTCATAAGTAAAATGTAGATAATAATAATAATATCTTCTCTCATCACTACCTTCATCTAACCTTGTCCAGCTTCCTATGTCACTGGTAGGAGATTGAAGATTTCCTGTCTGGGATGAATAACTGGCCCAAGAGAATAGACCTATAGACGCCCAGTGATGGTTGCCTTCCAATGAAGAAGATAGGCCAGGTAATCCCAATCACTCTCCTGTGAAGCTTACTTTTCAACAAGTACCATCCCTGCATGCAGGGCTTCAATCAGCTTTTTACTGCCTCACTCTTACATAAGGATAGATTTAAAAGGATGACCAAGTATTTGAAGAAAGCCTTTAACTTGGAAGATGTAGACCAAATAAACCAACTAAAAACAAAAATTCAGAGGAAAGAGATAAACACCCATTGCTGTCAAGTCATTTCTGACTCATAGTGACGCTATAGGACAGAGCAGAATTGCCCCATAGGGTTTCCAAGACTATAATCTTTACAGAAGCAGACTGCCACATCTTTCTCCTGAGGAGCAGCTGGTGGGTTTGAACTGCCAACCTTTCAGTTAGCAGCCAAGTGCTTAACCACTGTGCCTCCAATGAGGCAAAGTAAGGAACAAAAGGAAACAGTGAAAATGATTTCAAGAGAAAAGTGAATGGTAAACATGAGGAAAATATACCAGAAAGTATAAAAAGACATAAACTGAAACAAAAAAGGAAAACAAATGGGACTATTAGAAGATAATCTCCAAACACTAAACATATACTCATTCAAAAAAGAGGAAAGACAAAAGAAATAATCAAAGAAAAAAAAATATTTCCTAGAACTGAAAGACATGGTTTTCTAGGCTGAAAAGTCCACTTTGTGCCCAGCCTAGTGAATGAAAAATGACGTACACCAAGGCATATGTGTACATCAAAACACTGCACTGGTCATATAGAGAAGATACTAAAATCTTTCTTACAAAATAAAATAAAAAAACAAAATACCAGGAATCAAATGGCATCAGATTTCTCAGGAGTAACCCTGAATCCTAGAAGACAATGGAGCAATGAGTTCAAAATTCTGAGAGCACAGGATTTCCAGTTAAAAACTCTCTGCCCAGTCAAACTACCAAGAATTGTGAGTTTAGAATAAATGACATCTTCAGGCATGCAAGGTCTTTAGTTTTCATATATCCTCTACAAGAAGCTTTTGACAGATGTGCTCCACCAAATAAAGGGCCCAGGTGGTGCTGTGGTTAAGAGCTTGGCTGCTAACCAAAAGGTTGGCAGTTCAAATCCACCAGCTGCTCCTTGGAAACCCAATGGGGCAGTTTTGCTCTGTCCCATAGGGTCTCTATGAGACGGAATTGACTTGATGGCAATGGGCAAGCAAGAAAAAGGAAGACATCAAATCCAGTAATCAAGAGATCCAAAACATAGAGAAATAACAAAACCCTCAGACTAACGGTGAAGGAAAACTCCATAGGAAAGAGCTATGCTGTAGGTAGAGAGCACAACTGGAGAATCCAGAGGAGCAGGAAAACAGCCCCAAGAGGGAGGAATTAAAATCTGCCAGATCTCCTGATGTGCTGGAGTATACGAAGAGTTTGGTATTCTAATCAACAAGTGCATTGCAACTACATAGCAAAAAAATGCAAAGAGGGAAGGTATTTGGGGGTCTGAGGGAGGAGATGATATAAGGGAACTAAATCTCCATCTTCCCTAACCAAAACCAAACCCAATAGTGTCGAGTTGATTCCGACTCATAGCAACCCTATAAAGTAAATGGATAATACATTAAACTGAAAATAAAGAAGCAGCAGCATGAGCAAATTATTTTTAACACGGAGACAGGTATCAGAAGAAACCAATAAAAATGTTGAAAGTTTTCATCTGATGAATAGAGTCAGTGGCGAGATGAGCACGGAGGTGGGATAAGTGACCACTGATTTTCATTATACGCCCTTATAGAACTATTTGGCATTTTATAAACTGTGTACTTATGCTACTTTGATAAAAATAAAAAATAAAATCATCATCAGCAACAGGAAAAGAAATTGAAAGGAATCATGGCATGGGCATTGTCACTGTGTTTTATGACCTTTGTTACTTTAAAGTGACCCTCCTTTTCATGTTTAACATTTGGAGAATGATAAAATATAAAAATCCAAACATTTGCAGGTCTTGATACTGATTAAATTTGAATGTTAATAGGGAAAGAAGCCAAAGACAACTCCTACACTTCTAATTTAAATGACTGAGTGGATGCAGGGCCACCAAATGACACAGAAAACATGTGAGGAAGTACATGGAGGTTTAAGTTTGCAGATTTTATTGGTGCCAACCGGTATTTGAACGTACGGCTCAGGATACCAGATGCAGGAACTATCTCATGTAGTGCTGGAATAGTCTCAACATCCAGACTTCTCCCTTCTGCTCTCAAACTCCTCTATGCATGAGTTGCTTTTTTGTAGCTAAAATATATTTGTAAATCATCTTGAAAAACATTGACATAGACTTACCCAATTTTTAGTGTAACGTGTTCGGCCTGAAGCAATGCCAAGTCTTTGGAAGAAAACTTCAAAATCATTACCAGATCCCAATTTGCTAATCCTTTAAGGGATTAAATACCAGAGTTATTTCAGAGTAATTTCTTATCAGTCTGAAGATTAAAGATTCAGTTAAACTAAACTCAGTGCATAAATAATTTTTTTTTCAGATATGTAGCCTTACACATGCAGTGAAAAAGTAGAGAGGAATAGTAATTCTGCTCACAAAGTATCTATTTTCATAAGACTTTTTGTGTCCTGGTGACCATTTTATAAGTCATAATTTTTTTTCCTTTAGATTACTTCTTTCAACTTATTTTATAAGCTATATTTGTGGTACATGATAAAGTGGGAAGTGGATTGCTTCACTTCACATAATTCAGACGTAAATTCTGTCCTTAATAACTTAAAATAGTCATACTGTTGCTATCTACAGTCTTAAACTACTGAGATATTTATTCTTCTACACTCACTAGTAAAGATGTAACCAATGGTGAAATGATGTTTATATTTTTATTAGAGTAACCAAAATATTTAACCGTATGATGTCCAGAATAAAGAATAATTGGAGGATGACTAGGAGACATAAATATAAGGGGGAATTACTTTTCACCATTATATCCACTATAGCCTTTGAGTTTTGTACTACGTGTATATATTACCTATTCCAAAGAGAATAGTTTTTTTTGATGCCATACAGATTTTAGCTTCAAGACAAACAGTAGTGTTTTACTTGTGAACCTAAACATTGCTTCTCTTTTATCAGATTTTAGAGCCTTTTGAAGAGTTAAATTTTTATTAATCAAGACTGAAAGAAAACACCCTTTTATTTTTAACACAACCCCATAATGAATTCAGCAGAAAGGTTTTGTGTGTGTGTCTGTGTGTGTTTGTTCATTTACCTGGGCATGCCACTGAAGTCAGGCGAAGGACTTTTTTCTTTCCAGCTCTCATAAAGAGATTTGCCTTCAAAGCCTTCATCAGGGCTTTTCAGCTACACAAATTAAAAGGAGAAACATAGAATACTCACAAATCAGTTATATTGAAATCTAACATGTCCTTTAACTAGGGAGTGAATAATAGCCTGTGGATCAGCAAAATCAGGAATGTAATCCGTATGTTAGCAGTCACTTAACATTACAGTCACGATTTTCTGACAACAAGGACAAATGCTCATGATATGTATGGTACGACTCTAGTATATAAAAAATGCATGAAGTGTACAGAAAAGAAGCCTGCACTAAATTATTACCAAGCCATTGTATTTATTGTTTTTTTTAATTTATTTTATTTTGTTGTTGTTGATGAGAATACACACAGCAGAACATACATCAATTCAACAATTTCTGTATGTACAACTCAGTGACACTGATTACATTCGAGTTGTACAACCATTCTCACTCTCCTTTTCCAAATTGTTCCTCCCTCATTAACATAAAATCACTGCCCCCTAAGTTTCCCCATCTAATCTTTCAAGTTGTTATTATTAATTTGATCCCATACAGATAGTTATTAAAAGAGTATAATGCTCAAGGCAGACGTTCTTACTAATTAAGCTAAACTATTGTTTGGTTTAAAGAAGACTTCAGAGGATGTTTTTGGTTTAAAGATTATCTCAGGGCAATAATTCCAGGGGTTCAACCAGCCTCAATGGCTTCAGAAAGTCTAGACCAAGCCATTTGCCTAAATTCTCACATTATTTTTCTGGGGGGGAGGGGGCTATTTTTCTGAATTGAGAGAAGCTATGCTCAAAAATATATATTTATTCTTCTTTTATAAGAAATAAAATGAAAAGAGCAAGCTAGTTAAGCGAAGGTATTTCTTTTAAAATTGCTTCTTGCCAGTAAGGTTATCATAGTTATTAAATAATAAATAATGAAACAGTGTAATTAATATTTCATTTAATTAATTGAGTATTTACTGTAATTATAATTGTGTTAAACACTGGTCTTTAGATACATTTTCTGATTTTATAGATGAGAAAACCTAAGGGAGTAAAATATGACCTATCATTGAATTCTAGACTCAGAGCATTAGGTGTTAACTATGTCAAAAACATTTAGCAAACTAAATTTTAATAACTGTCCATAGTTATGTATAGATAATTGAAAAATACATGGTATAAATTATTTCATTTTATATTTAATAAAAAATCATATGCCCTAATTTTCAACAAATTCAATTAAAAATGTTTATAAAGTATCTACACTATTCAAGAATTTAGGTAGGTGCCAGGGATACAGAGATCAGTAATGCACATAGCAAAGTTTCTATTCATGGGAACTGTAAGTCAAATACTGAAATTCAATGTTGTAGGTGTTACAATAGAAGCACTTAACCATTTGTGCCACCCAGGGACTCCTGTATAAATGTCTAAGTTAAAAAAAAAAAGGATATAAGCTGTATACACACAACTATTTAAAAAACATTTTTAAACCTATAAATGTGGGAACAAGTATACTGTGCCCTTTTGGCTGTGAGTGTTTTCACATTCTGCTCCCTTTGCAAAATGCCATTTCCTACTTCGACAGAATACCTCCTCCTCCCTCAGGACTCAGCTTCTCTGGGACGCCAGTTTTAACTTGCCCTACCCCAGGCCAGAGGGCAGAGGCAGTTCAGTGGTAGGATTCTTGGATTCCCGGCCAGTGTATCTCATGTATCTACCACCCATCTGTTAGTGTAGGCTTCTGTGTTGCTTTGATGCTGAACAGGTTTCAGTGGAGCTTCCAGACTGATGGACTAGGAAGAAAGCCCTGTGTATCTACTTCCAAAAATCAGTCAATGAACACCCTATGGATGACAATTGTGCCGTCTCATTGCCCATGGGGTCATCATGAGTCAGGGCCAACTCCACAGCAGCTAACAACCACCACCCTAGGCCAGTCTGGGTACTCCTTCTCTGACTGCATACCACCTTACATATTCACTGGTCATAGTCCACACAACTGAGACGTAATTAAATACAACCTCTGGGAACAACATTGTCAAAGGGCTATTTAATGACCGAACCCAGGAACTATCGTGACATTCAACATTGTTTTCAGTCCTACCCTGAAGAGAAAGTAACTCATTCTAACACAAGTGTTTTAAAAGCACTCTCCTACGTCCACATATAGGAGCCCCTGAATTGCACAAATAGTTAAGTGCTGAACTACTATCAGAAAGGAGGTTCAAATCCTCCCAGGGGTGCCTTGGAAGAGAATCCTGGAGATATGCTTCTGAAAGATCACAGCCTTGGAAACCCTATGGAGCAGTTCTACTCTGTACACAGGAGGTCACTATGAGTTGGAATCGACTCGATAGCAACTAACAGCACCAACAACTATGTCCAAAAACTTAGAGCAGCTTCAGGAGAGAAGAACTTTGCTTTCACAAAAAGAACGTAACTGAAAGTTAAGGTTCGAGCCAGAGGTCCAGTCCCAGGCAGCCACAGATGATCTTCTGCTGAACAAAAGATTGCGTGACACAGGAATCAGCTCCCTTACTGAATTCTACAGTAAAGAGCCTAATTTTTCACTCTGTACATAAAACTCATCCTATACTACATTCTACTGGTCTGTGCACTTGCCGGTCTCTCCACTAGACTTTGAGCTTCTCTGGAGGACACCTGCTATCTTCTGTCTTTGTATTTCCAGAAGCTAGTATAGTGCCTGTGCTGACTAGGCTGTAAACTCACTGTTAAATGAATGAATAAATAAAGGGAGGTGACGCAAGTGACCTTGAGAGCCCTAAGCAACCATTTAGAAACTGGTGGATTCATGGGGCAGAAGGACTAAGGTGAAGGGTTGGCTGTCAGTCCTGCTGGAATCCAGGTACCACCTCGTGGCCAGGCCTAGTTCTGTGTACCGCTGTCAGAATTAAAAGAACATTGATCTCTCAGCCAGGCTCATACCGTACTGGGTGCGGACTTCAGTGAACTAGAGCCCAGGGCAAAGTTCAGGCACAGTCAGGAAGGGTAGGTACATGGCCTCCCAGCCTCTGCCCCAAATTGATTTGCTCCTGGCAGTTGGCACTAGGTGTTTCTACACATACTCTTTTGCAATCAGTTAAAACTTTTAAATCTTCCTGGGTCCTGAGTTAATTGGTATCACTATATTAAGGAGTATAATTCAGTTTTAAAATTAAAGAGTTAAAAAATAGAATCAAGTCCTATGGTACACGTTGCATAATTGTGGTGGCTAATCCTCTTCGAGCTCAATTTGCTTATCTTCAAAATGGGATGGTAGACATAATGCTATCCAAAGACTGCCTCACAGTGTTGAGGGGAGAAATGAGGTAATGTACGTGAACACTTGGTTAAACCAAGAAAACAAGCCCGTTGCCATCAAGCCAATTCCGACTCACAGCAATCTTATAAGGACAGAGTAGAATTCCCCCGTAGAGTTTCCAAGGAGTGGCTGGTGGATTCAAACTGCTAACCTTTTGGTTAGGAGCCTGAGCTCTTAACCACTGCACCACCAAGGCTGGATGATACTTGTTAATATGAAAAAAAAGGTTGTAAAACAACACAGATGTTTAACATAACAATGGCACTTCAAGGAAACATTGTTTGCAGAACTTAAATTTTCTTAAATTACATGTAATTTTCTTTTACCTCTTTTGCTAGGTTGTATACCAAGTTGAACATCAGTGGTGTACAGTCAACTCGCAGAGTGTAGTTTCCTGAAAGGGAAGCTCAACTGTATTTGATTTCATTTCTTTCTTTTATTATTTCATTCAAAGACCATTGCTAACTCCACAGCCAAGATGATCCTTCTAAAATATAAATTAGATAAAAAATACCCAGCGGCTTCCAATCTCACTCAATAAAATCCAGCATCCTCACCAAGACCCACAGAGCCCTGCATGAAATGGCCCTAGGCCATCTCTCCAACATCTCCTCCTCCACCTGCCCCAAGCTTAGTTCCACCTCAGAGTCTTTGCAAGTACTATTCCCTCAGCCTGCATGGCTTACTCGCCCATATCACTTGGACCTCTGGTCAGGTGTCATGTTTTCTAAAAGCTTTCTCTGATCAACCTACACAAAACAGACACTCTTCCTACCCCCATCCTAGCCACTGTGTCTCTTGACCTTGCTTTATTTTTCTCCATATCACTTATTTACTTAACATATTACATATTTGCTTGTTTTTTACAGCTTGTTTTAATTATCTGGTCCATGGGAGCAGGTACTTTCTTTTATTCGCTGCCATATCCCCAGTGTGTACAGCAGCCCTAGTATTTATTTAGCATTTACTTAATAAGTATTTGTAGGAAAAGTGAATTTGTGAGCCAAGTACTGTCTAGGTGGTTCTCAATAGAGAGTAGAAATGGAGTCCCCTTTCCTCAGGAGTTCTCCATCTGGTGCGTGTGAGAATCAAACAAACCAGCCCCTAGAGGTTCCCTTGGGGAGCAGTGGGAGCACAGGAAAGTGAAGATGTCAGGGGGAGAGGAGGTACTAGGGTTCTTCAATTGGGTCTTATAGAATCAGAAGGTGCTAGCTGAGCCAAAAAATAAATGGCATTCAGAGCTGAGGGAATAGCCTTTACAAATGCCCAGAAATGTAGAAGTTCACGATGAGCTCAAAGAACGGCAAAAAGCTTTATCCCAAAGTGTAAGATCATGTCTGGGAACAGCGAAAATTAAGTCTTTAAAAATGAATGAATAGTGGCACCACAACAGAATTGTTCATGGAACTTGAAAAGCTGATTCCATGATTCATCTGGAAGAAAAAAAATATGCACAAATAGTCAATGAAATGTTAAAAACAGAAGAAATGCTGGTAAGAGTGTAAAGTGACTCAGATATTTTGGGGGTGGGGAAGGAGTTTGGCAGCACTTATTACAATTTAAATGCACATATCCATGCCCAAGCAATTGTACTTGTCACTCTCTACTCTACACTCATTTTATGTAGAAGATGGCATGTAAATATAAGTATATTTACTGCAACAAATTGAAGCAATCGAACCATTAGAGAAATTTGCCTATTGAATACAGTTCTGAACTTTTATCTTTAAACGAGGCAGATCTATATGTACTGACATGGAAAGTTATCCATGACCTGTTGTTCAGTGAGAAAGGCAGGTTGCAGGACACTTTTATCTGCCATATAACACCAAAAGTCTGCATAGTATAGTATAGTGAGAGGCAATAGACAGTATCAGTTAGAAGGAGAAAGCTGCAACAGACCAGCTCGATTTGAGTTGCAGCTCAACCATTTACTAACTGTATGACCTTGGGAATTTACTTACGCCCTCTGGGTCTGTTTCCTGTTCTATACAACAGAGATAATAAAAGTACCTACCTCACAGGGTGATTGTGAGGATTAGATCCATTTTACATGAAAAACACTTGTACTTGCTATGCTGTTGGTGCTTTGTGTGAGCTAAATTCTATTTTAAACTGACGGGAGCAGTACCTTTGGGGCGGGGGTGAGATTTGAGAGTCGCTTTATTGGGGATTTTAGCTTTATTTATAAAGTTGACATTTTAACACAAGAAATGCAAAAATATATGATTTCTTGTATTATTTGATGCTTGATGGTAAGTATTTATAATCCAATCAGAGGCATGGAACAAATGAAGTAAAAAGACCTGTGAATGACATACAGGTAGCCCCTGACTTACGACATGTTTGAGTTACGATGACCTACACTTATGACTGTCAGTGTCTCTGGAACATTGCATCTTCCTGGGAGGAAGTTATGGGGAAATGCATGTAGGTGATATGGAAAAAAATGCTGAGTTATGTGAACATGCTCAAAGCATTTGATCAGGATAATAGAATGGAAGAGGTCCGTGGGAAAATCGTCCACATGGCAAGAAGACTGAATTTAGAACTTGATATCGCCTATGTTGAATAGCTTATAGCTCATGAAGAAGGAGAATTGAAAGATGAGGACTTAATGGATTTTGAAGAGGAAAGACATGCGGAAGAAGAAAAATATAAGAGGAAGAGGAAGAGAGAAGCTGTCAAAAATTTTTACAGTGAAAAGACTAGCTGGAGTTTTTTCTAAACTAAATCACAGGCTTTAGTTGCTTAATAACATGGACCCAAACGCTGATCGTTTTGTGAAAGTTGATAGGCATATTCGGAAAGCAGTGAGATGTTACTGCAAAATATATGAAGAAAAAAAGAAAAGGATCATACAGACAACTCTCACTAATTTTCTGACTAGAAACACCATCCCCATTCCCAGAGATAATCCAGATGATCCAGAACCTTCCACAAGTGGAGTTATTATTGCAACTGACAAAATGCCAACGTCATCCAACTCTTGATCATCAGAGTAAATTTTTATGATTTGTGTGTTTTTAATGTATGTATTAAAATATATCTGTAAGTTTATACATAATGTTTCCAACCCCCAAACACAAATAAAGATCAGATTTATAAGGATACTGATAATAAAAGGCAAAAAAAAAAAAAAAATGTGGTATTCAACTTATGTCAGAACTGACTTACAACAGAGTCATTGGAACAGGACCCCGTCGTAAGTCAGGACTACCTGTATAGGGAACAGTGGTTGCAATGGCTAGGAGGTTCCATATGGCCAAGGAATAAAAAGAAGAGTGTTGTGGCTGGAATATAGTGACAATGGACTATTTGATCTTCATGGAAATCATGGAAACCTGAGAATGTCCTTTAGTTTGAATCTTGGCTTATTAAGAGTATATTCATTCCTCAAGGCCTATCTCAAACGCCTATCTCATTTCTCAAGGCTTTCCTGAAGTTTACAATTTCTCTTTCCTCTGAATCCCCAGAGAATTTTGATTACATATTTCTTATAGTACCTACATATAGCATAATCCTAGATTGATTTATTTTATTATCTCTATTGAGAAAGACTATTCCCTAGTTATCTCTGACTCTCATGAATCCATGGCAAACCACACTGCATACAGAAAGTGCTCAGAAAATATTTATTGAATCGAAGAAAAAAAATAAAAACACTTGGTGAAAGATGAAATTTTGGAAATCAGCATTTTTTAAAAATTTGTATGCTTGTTATAATGAAACTAGGGATTAAGTCTAAATTATACTTTCTTCCATCTCATTCTAAAATCATGGAACTCTTTAGTTCCATGATTTCCTCATTCATTCAACAGGTATTTATTGAATTCCTACAACATACAGGGTAATCTCACTGATGATGCAAATTAAAGAGTGCTGCTTTCCTGAATTAGCACTCTATACTGCAAAGTAAATGGGGAAAAAAAATCAGCAGATTTCCAATCCACATGTTACGGGATTTGCCTGCATTGTTAGTGCATGATTTATGAACTAAACGGCTCCTACGAGCATAATCACATCTTTTCCTCTGAGACCAATAATATTCACCTTCTATCGAAGAATCAGAATTAATATAGGCCACGCCACGTTCTTGAAGGAGTCTAGAATTATCCTATAACAAAAATGAAAGAAAAGCATAAGCATACAGCCATAGCTCCCCCCCCCCCCATTCACACTTACATTTACTGTATACAGATTTCTAAATTAGGCTGGCCCAAGTAAACCACAATTTGCAATATAAAGTCCCCAAAAGAATTAGTTTGAAAGCATTTCAATGAAGATTTTTGGTAAGGAACTACATCTAAAACTTTTTAAGACTAAAATTTAAGATGAATGTGTCCACATACTTAATAGAGCAAATAGAAAAGGAGTGGATTTTTTAACCACAATTAATATAAGCTTCACAAAATTTTCTTAGCAAATATGAATCACCTGAGAAACTTTGAAGTGGAAGTAGAGAACCTTGGCTGACTCACAGGGGATGAGCTATTTAAAATGTATGGTGTTATAAAAGGTAGGAGGTTAAATTATGTCTCCATATCCTGAAATAGTCCAAGTACGGAGACTATCTCTTGTAAGCTGCTACCATCTATTGGTCAGATTGATAACTGCACATTTTTAGAACACTGATCAAAAGAGTGTAACAAAGTTGTTTTGTTTTGTTTTTTTGAGATATCGTTGTGGATTCTGAGTTTCCAATACATGCAATTTCCTGAGCTTTCTGAATGTAAGAAAGAAAATGGAAAAAAAATAGTGTAACACTGAGTGATTAAAAAAAACTACAACACTGATATAGACAAATTACACCCTCAAAGTATTTAGGCCTTTCCTGACACCAGCCTAAATCTTTCATGTAAAAGTTTCAGCTAGGTCCACAGGAGTACTGTTTTTTCCCAAAGAAAATAGAAGTCTGGAGTATAATAGGAGCCAAAAAATATTTACAACATGATTGGAAGTTAGTGGAACAAATATTAACTTTACGAATGTTTAGAGCTAATGCTTCCATTACACAAAGTCAAAAAAAAAAAAAAAAAAATACACGCAGGTAAAATTACCTTTCAAGGGGCCTAGTAAATATTTTATGGTGGTAGTTAAGTCCTAACTGGTTTATTATTACTGTGAAAATTTATCTTGTAGCAAATTATCAACTAACCTCTGCCCACTCAGTAGAACCAAGGAGACCAAATTCTTCAGCATCCCAGCTTGCAAACATAATTGTTCTTCTCGGTCTCCATCCTAAAATAGAGTATGTATGTACATATACACACACACACACACATATATATACATATATATATTCAGAAAATATGTAATATATTCGACATTACGAAGATCAAACGGGAAAGAAATTTTGTTGGTTATGTTAGGAACTTTGGATTATAGTGGGAATCTTATGTAATTTCCCTTTGTAAGATGTTAAAACTGATCTGTTAATACAAGATCATACAATTGTATTGAAAATGAAAATAAAATTTAGATATAGAAAAAATCCCGGGAGAGCACAAACTGTTCTATTAGGTTTATAATGACAGCATGCCTACGAAGGCATCAGTGGTCTGTAACTGCCCCAAGCGGAAGAAGAAAATGCTAGACGAGGTTGGTGTTCTGAGAGCAGATGTAACTGGGAAAGTCTTTGAGAACTGTGCCCTATTATTCCTGCATCACATGAACAATTGCTCAGTGTCATCTGCTGTGTAATTCCACTCCATTCTCTGCCAGAATTAGTCCACAGGGACTCAGCAGTACCAATGTCTGCTGCCGCTACTGCCGAAAACTACACAATTGAATAGGGAGGTCCTAAGACACGGAGGTTATAAACCCTGACCTTGGAATTAAAGAAAGATCTTCCTTCAAACCTTGATCCCTCACTTACTAGCAGTGTGACCAAGGAAATGTTGTTCAAATGAACTAAGCCTCAGTTTTCTTAGCAATGCACCAGGAAAAAGAGTTTAATGATGGCCATACTATTTGACTGTTGATTGTCGGGAAGATTCAGTGGAATAATGCTGATAGCAGTCGATATACTGTTTCTATACTAGTAAATAATCCCCAAATTGTAAGTTGTTAATATTTTAATAATTATTTCATGTGTGCTTATTAAAAATGTATATCTTACTGCTGTTGAGCCCAGCGTTTTATTTTTGTCGTTTGTTAATAACACTGTTCAAATTTCCTTTTAGTTATTAGTCCTCAACATTTCATTCTTTCAGCCATACTGTACAGTTATCACAGCGATGCTATGCATTTACCAGAGGAAATCTTCTTGTAAAACAATTGAAACCTTATGTAATAAAATTATGCATGACTCTAATCTAAAGAACTATGTAAATTAAGGTATCCGTAGTTCTGTTTCCTTAAAATATAAGATACCTGTGTAGGAAAAAAATGGAATATCTTTTTATTTTAATTTAAATAGAAGCATCATGGTTTAGCAGAATGATAGCCATACAACTGGGTTTGAGCCCTGGCTCTCTGACTCTGCCATGCACTAGTTACATTGCTTGGCTCTGTAAACCTTGTTAACTTACCTGTGAAATTAGAACAGAAGCAACTAGGTGAACTTCTCACTGGATACTGTCAGTTCAAAATAGCTAACACATGTGAAAATGCTTTGCCTCACTGGGGAAATAAGATCTTTGCAAACTTACTATATTTATTCCATAGTTTTCATTGTTGATAACAACAATAGAATCACATTTTACAGCATTTAGACACCATGTTTGCAAGGTCAATAAACAGAGTGGACTTCCTGCTCTCAATATACAGCGATTATCTTAAAAAGCAACCTTCTGAACTAAATGCTATTTTAATTTTCATATGAATATTCTAAAACGACTGAAGTAAGTAGTTGTGGTAAGAGTATAATCCTAATTTCTGGGAGAGCAAACCTCGACTGGGGGTAAGAGAATGCAGATAACAAACTTTTGCAGAATCCCCTAAGGCAGCAAGACCAGTATCCCCTGAAAAGCCTCTACCTCCTCAGTTACTTATCACTTGACCTGAATGGGAGACTGGAAGAGCCCAAGGAACCTCTACTCACAGCTCTCTGACCATGAAGCATTGGCTTATGACCTAATTCTGTGTGTCCTGTCCAGTGAAGAAATCGATTTTCATCTTCTCAGTGGCCAAGAGTAAACACTAACAATCTAATTCCTTTACTTCAGATTACGCAGATTATAATTTAACACATAAACATCAATAATATAAATATTGTTAGGTAAATAAGTGCAAAAGTAAATAAAAATGTAACTAATGAACCAATATAGGTAATATAGCCATTGTTTATTGAAAGCTACTAAGAACTACTAAGTTCTTATTGATTGATGCTAAATTGATTGATAATCAATCTTATTGATTGATGTTAAGTTATTTATTGATGCTACTAAGAACTACTAAGTGCTGTAGCTACTAAAATGGCATACTTTATGGCTATCACTCCTGTTGACCTTTCACACAAACCTAGGAGGTAGTAATATGACACTTTACAGTGGACTAAATTGAGACTCAGAGAGTTACTCTTTGTTTATATTACCTTTCTTTTTCAGCTCTCCAAAACTCCTCACAATTTCATGAACAACAGCTGCTCCACTCTGAGGGTCAATGCCACCAAAAACCCAAGAGTCACGGTGACCTCCAAGAATGACATATCTGTCTAGAAAGCATCATTGCAAGATCACTAGTCATTTCAGGTCAATAATAGAGCAAATTTCAAATAGTTCAATTGCATCTACACATGAAACTCTCAAAACTCAAAAAAAAAAAAAAAGCAAAGTTCTTGAAGACTTGTGTAAATATATTATTTTGTTCTGATTTTGATGTATGTTTCCTCTATCTGCAGCTCAAGCCAAGATAAAAATGTGTACTTCAATGTATTACAGTAATTATAGTAGTAACTTATTCAAATCTTAGCCCATAAAATTACCCTTATCCAAGTCTTTATATGATACTCTATTACTCCTCCCTTACCTGACTTACCACTTTCTGTTTCCAGTATGTTCTGAGTAAGAGAACACAGTGGTAGTGTAGGAAGTTCTCTATTTCCTACTCCTTCTACTCAATTTTCAAGGTACAGCTCAAATATTTTCCCCTCTATGAACCATATTTTCTACAGGAAGAGGGAATTACTCTGTCTACCCAGCTCTTGGGGTAATATTTTTATATCTGATATAGCAGTTATCACACTTAAATGTCTGACTCCCACTCCTAATTGTAAGCTCCTTGTTCCTGGTCTGGATTTTTTTTCTCTTCAACCCCATGCCTCGCACAGAGCTGGCACATAATAGGTGATGAGTAAGACTCAGGAGTCCCTGGATAGTGCAATCTGGTAAGAACTAGACTACTAACTGAAAGGCTGGTGCCTCAGAAGAAAGGCCTGGCAGTCTGCTTCCAAAAGGTCACAGACTTGAGAACCCTATGGAACAGTTCTACTGTGCACACTTGGAGTTGTCATGAGTCAGAATCAACTCAATGACAATAGGCTTTTTTTTTTTTTTTGAGTAAGAGTCAGTTGTTATATATTGTTTAGTACTCTTTGGAAGCATATCAATATCATCGATCCCTGAAACAAAGCACTGGCTGCAAGTAAGAAAGAGAATAAACTTAACTGTATCTGGTTTTATGAGAAATATATAATCAAGTAGTTCCTGAGGAACTGAACCATAGTGAACTAAGACTTTAATAGGGATTTATAAACAGAGATGTCATTTTAAATCTCTTATGAAAAGGATGTATAGTTTTAGAGAAATCTCTTTATAATTCCCATGTCTTCCTTCTAATTTGGCATTGTGAAAGAGTAGTTGGAATGAATGTATAACTAGTGATATTTAGAGGAAAAGTATTGTGTACTTCTAAACTAACATTATATATAACTAAAATCTATCTAAAATCTACTCATCTGTCAATTTGTCGTACTGTGGTGGCTTGCAGAACAGACCATCCATTGCACATATGCAAGTTAAAGTTGAAGCTGAAGAAAATTAAAACAAGTCCATGAGAGCCAAAGTACAATCTCGAGTATATCCTAGTAGAATTTAGAGACCATTTCAAGAATAGATTTGACACATTCAACATTAATGACCGAAGCCCAGATGAGTTGTGGGATGACATAAAGGACATCACACATAAGAAAGCAAAACGTCATTAAAAAGACAGGAAAGAAAGAAAAAACAAAAAAGGATGTCAGAAGAGACTCTGAATCTTGCTCTTGAATGTAGAGTAACAAAAGCAAAAAGAAGAAATAATGAAGTAAAAGAGCTGAACAGAATATTTCAAAGGCCAGTTCAAAAAGACAAAGTATTATAGTGAAATGTACAAAGACCTGGAGTTAGAAAACCAAAAGGGAAGAATGTGCTCAAGCTGAAAGAAGCAAAGAAAAAATTTAAGCCTTGAATTGAAATACTGAAGGATTCTATGGGCAAAATATTGAGTGACACAGAAAGCATCAAAAAAAGATGGAAGGAATACACAATATTTATACCAAAAAGAATTGGTAGGTGTTCAGCCATTTCAGGACATAGCATATGATCAAGAACCGACGGTACTGAAGGATAAGTCCAAGCTTACTGAAGGCATTGGCAAAAAACAAGGCTCCAGGAATCGACGGAATACCACTTGAGATGTTTCAACAAACGGATGTAATGCTGGAAGTGCTCACTCGTCTATGCTAAGAAATTTGGAAGACAGTTATCTGGCCAACCAACTGGAAGAGATTAATATTTGTGCCAATTCCAAAGAAAGGTGATCAAACAGAATGTGGAAATTATCGAACGATATCATTAATATCACACACAAGCAAAATTTTGTTGAAGATAATTCAAAAAATGATTGCAGCAGTATATGAACAGGGGACTGCCAGAAATTCAAGCCGGATTCAGAAGAGAATGTGGAATAAGGGATATCATTGCTGATGTCAGATGGATCTTGGCTGAAAGCAGAGAATACCAGAAAGATGTTTAAATGTGTTTTATTAACTATGCAAAGGCATTCAACTGTGTGAATCATAACAAATCATGGATAATATTGCAAATAATAGGAATTCCAGAACACTTAATTGTGCTCATGCGGAACCTGTACATAGACCAAGAGGCAGTCGTTCGAACAGAACAAGGGGATACTGCGTGGTTAAAAGTCAGGAAAGGTGTGCGTCAGAGTTGTACCCTTTCACCATACTTATTCAATCTATATGCTGATCAAATAATAAGAGAAGCTGGACTCTGTAAAGAAGAATGTGGCATCAAAACTGGAGGAAGACTCATTAATAAACTTTGATCTGCACATGACACAACCTTGTTTGCTGAAAGCAAAGAGGGCTTAAGTACTTATTGATGAAGAGGGAAGACTACAGCCTTCAGTATTGATTACATCTCAACATAAAGAAACAAAAATCCTCACAACTGGACCAATAAGCAACATCATGATAAATGGAGAAAAGACTGAAGTAGTCAAAAATTTCACTTTGCCTGGATCCGCAGCCAACACCCATGGAAGCAGCAGTCAAGAAATCAAATGAATGTATTGCATTGAGCAAATCTGCTGCAAAAGACCTTTCATAAGTGTTTGAAAGCAAAAGATGTCACTTGGAGGACTAAGGTGCACCTGACTCAAGCCATGGTGTTTTCAAATTGCCTCATATGCAAGTGAAAGCTGGACAATGAATGAGGAAGACCGAAGAAGAATTGATGCCTTTGAATTATGGTGTTGGCAAAGAATATCAAATATACCATGGACCGCCAGAAGAATGAATAAATCTGTCTTGAAAGAAGTATAACTGGAATGCCCCTTAGAAGCAAGGATGGTGAGAGAGACTTCATCCATGTACTTTGGATATGTTGTCAGGAAGGATCAGTCCCTGGAGAAGGACGTCATGCTTGGTAAAGTAGAGGGTCAGAGAAAAAGAAGACCCTCAAAGAGATGGACTGACACAGTGGCTGCAACAATAGGCTCAAACATAGCAATGATTGTGAGGATGGTGCAGGACCGGACAGTGTTTCCTTCTGTTGTACACAGAGTTGCTATGATTTGGAAGTGAGTTGAAGGCATGTAACAACAACAACATATACTGACTTCAGTTATGGAAAATAAAACTATGTAAAACAAACAACAACAAGAAACCAAACCCATTGCCGTCAAGTCGATTGCAACTCATAGCAACCCTATAGGACAGAGTAGAACTGCCTCATAGGGTTTCCAAGGAGCGGCTGTTGGATTTGAACTGCCGACCTTTTGGTTAGCAGCTGAGCTCTTAACCACAGTGCCACCGGGTCTCCAAAACTATGTAAAGGATGTCCTAATTCAAGGTGACCTTAAATTTCATTTATAGTTACAAATTTTTCATTTATAGTTATAATGAAGATATTTACCCATACAATCTATGTGGTGAGTAAATCCAGAAAACTTAGAGAAACATATCAAAAGAATTTCTCCCTTGACAGTTTAGTTGAAGACGTATAGTTCATCATACACTTTGGTCTTGTGACCAACCTTGGCCCAAAATTTAATTTTCTTTTCTTCACAACATGTATCATAATAAAAAGTTACGTCATACTTATGTATTTTGTGTTTATGTAAGTTCCATTAGGGGAAAGAGTTGCTTTGCCTCACGCTCTAGAGCTCAGAGCAGTGCCTGGCACAGAAGAGTTGCTCCATCAATGTTTTTCAGTGATTGATTTACCTGGTTCCACTGCTCCTCTGAGAGTTCCAATCACATTGTAAATCCTTGTCACTTCACTGTTTGACTGGATATGCATCTTGACTTTTCTAATGCAGAAACAAAGGACAAGTTCTCAAAAAATTGGTTAAAAGATCACTGCCCACAATGATTTTTAAATCTTATATCATTTTTTTAAAAAGATTTCTAAATGCACACAGACAAAAAATTATGCTGGTCAATTGTAATGATGTAAGAGTATTCCCTTCTGTAATCTGTAGTTTTGTTTCCTGCTGGTGTTCACTTTTTCTGTCATCCTCTGTGATTGTTTTACACACAAAAGGTTCTCCCTAGAAATAGTTAAAATAAAAATAGCCTCTTAACTGCGTAGAAAAGTCTCCAATAAAGCCAGGTCCAACATTGTAGGGCACTTTGAGACCTCCTTTCCAGCTGTTATCTGGTGGTGCTGTTCCACCCATTTTTCTGTTGGAATGAAAAAGTATTATTAGCTGAAGGAAAACTTTGACGTTAGAAGTCACAGTGTCAATTAATTTGCGTCTGTTCACAATAGCTTCTCTGGGCCAGGGATAGTGAGAAATGTTTTGCATAAAATATGCCATTTAATCCCTACTACAACTCTTACGAGGTCGGTTCTGTTATTATTCCCGTTTCACAGATGAGGATCCTGAGGCTTAGAGAGATTAGGTAACATGCCTAACGTCACACAGCTAGCAAGTGGTAGAGCTGAGATTCAAATCACTGAAAAGAATTAGCACTGTGTGTTATCAGTTTGTAGGAGCACTCAGCTGCTAACCGAAAGGTCAGTGGTTTAAACCCACCAGTCACTCCTCGGGAGAAAGATGTGGCAGTCTGCTTCCATAAAGATTAACAGCCTTAGAAAACCTATGGGGCAGTTCTACTCTGTTACGTGGGGTTCGCTATGAGTTGGAACTGACTCGATGGCAACAGGTTTTGGTTTTGGTTATCAGTTTCCAACAGTACACCATGTTAACAGTGCTCTCCAGAGTATGTTCTTAAGGAACATCTTGATGTCTAACTCTTTGGAATTTTCCATTATGTTATTTGTACCACCAATAAAAATATTTCCAAAGGTGTATATGCTCATTCTTTACAAAGTACTTTCAAGCTTATCTTATTAGGAATAGAAGAGGAGCAGGGAAAAGGCCTTCAGTTCAACTTTTAGCCCCCAAAGTCTTCATACTTTTCTTTGATTAAAATAGGTAGAAAGATACCAGGGACCATCCAGTACATGCCACTAGTCCATGGTTATCTCTCAGGAGATAACCCTGGACTGGAGGCAAAGAGGCAATGGAATGAAATATTCAAAGTGCTGAAAGAAAAAGATTGTCAACCAAAAATTACATATCCAGTGAAACTATCTTTCAAAAATGAAGGAGACGTTAAGACATTCCCAGGCACACACATAAAATAACTTGAGAATTTGTTGCTAGGGGATCTACAAGAAATTATAATAAAGAGAGTCCTTTAGGCTAACAATGAAAATGTAAATTTTGAGACCCTGGTGGCGCAGTAGTTAAGAGTTTGGCTTAAGAGCTTGGCTGCTAACTGAAAGGTTGGCAGTTCGAATCCACAAGCTGCTCCTTGGAAACCCTATGGGACAGTTCTAGTCAGTCCTATAGGGTCCCTATGAGTTGGAATTGACTCGACGGCAATGGGTTAGGTTTCGGTTTTATCCATCGGAAAAATAAAGAGCACAAGGAAAGGTAGCAACATAGGTAAATAACAAAGCACAGTACAAATGTATTTTTTGTTTGTAACTATTTTTTCTCCTCTCTGATTTAAAAGACAACTGCATAACACAATAATTATAAATCTGTGTTGATGTACATATAATGTATAAAGATATAATTTGTATGGCAGTAATAGCACAAAGGAGGTGGAAGGGAATGAAACTATATAGGAGTAAATGCTTTGTATACTATTGAAATTTGGTATTACTCTGAACTAGATTGTTATAAGTAAATATATGAGTTATAATCCCCTATACAACCACTAAGAAAATAACCAAAATATATAGCTAAAGAAACAAATTGGTCCACTAGTTTTGAAATCAGGAAATGTGAGTCCTCCAACTTTGTTCTTCATTTTCTAGATTGTTTTGGATATCTTGGGTCCCTTGAATTTCCATGTGAATTTTAAAATCAGCTTGTCAATTTCTGCAAAACAAAGCCAGCTGGGCTTTTTAATGGAGGTTGTGTTGAATTAATTTACTTTTACTTTTTATTTGATTTTGATTGTTTTGTTTTGTTTTTTTAAAGACTAAGTTTCAACCATGCAGAACATTTCATTATTCCTTAGAAAGTACAGATGATGAAATAGGAATTGTCTTATTGCTTTTAATATATACAAGCAATCTCCAACTTCCAAATAAGTTGTGCTTCCAAAGTTCAAGTTTGATTATGGTGTTCTGAATGCAAAATGCACTTTTCTATACAATTATGTTATTAATGGTAGTTGCAGTTATAAAATGGCTTACAAAGCTGAATTAACTCAAACCATATGAAGTAAACTGCATTTATGATCTTTGAAATCAAGTAATTCTACTACACAGTGAGGGAGCAGCTGATATCAAACTCGTTAACCAGAGCAGTCAAATGGTAAACATCATGGTTACATAAACCTCACATCCAAATCCATGTGATCCTTCCTTCACTCCTTCCTTCTTATCTTTTTCTTTTCATAGTTACAAAGATAATAAATGTTATTTTTTAATCTTTTACACTAGTGTATAAAGTACATTTCAGAACAGAACTACTTGTTCTTTAATAGGGTAATAAAATTACATGCTCTACCTATCTCCGAGAATTTCAGTATCAAGTAACGGAGATAAAAGCATAAAATGTGAAGAATGCTATTATAGACAATTAACCAAATAGACATCCCATTGTTTTTTAAAAACTTACTCTAGGAACTTCTGTGCATCATAGTATCCAATTGGGTGGACAGGAATACTCGGAAGACCAACAGCCTCTGCAATTTCACGTCTATAAGCATATTCTGGGAAAAAAATTCGAAATTTTCTTCACTAAAAATTTAGTTCCGTTCAAACAATTTTCTCTACAACACATTAAACTCATCCTCATGTCGCCCCTACTATAACTGTTAAAATAAAAAAGACTGACAATTTTATAAGAATGTGGAGCAACTGACAGCCTCATACTTTGCTACTGAGAATGTAAAATGTTGTGATCACTTTAGAGAACTCCTGAAATTTAAAGTTAAGCAGAAATGTACACTATAACCCAGCAATTCCATTTACCCAAGAAAGATGAAAACATATGTCCACAAAAAACCCTGTATAAAATTGTTCATAGTAGCCTTATTGATATTAGCCAAATACTGGAAACAGCTCAGGTGTCTGTCCATCAACAGGAGAATGAATAACCAGCCTGTGGAATAGTCCCACAACAGAATGCTACTCAAGAGCTAAAAGGAAAGAAAAAATTAATACACACAGTAACATAGATAATCTCAATTCATTACGCTGAGTGAAACAAGAAAGGCACGAAAGAATACTGTCTGATTCCTCTTACATGAAGTTCAAAATCGGACAAACTAATCTATGGTGATAGATACCTGAAAGTGGTTACCTCCTTTGACTCTTTGGGGTGTAGTGCAAACTGATCAGAAAAGGGGCCAAGAGAACCTTCTAGAATGATGGAAATGTTTTATATCTTATTTTGGGTTACATAAATGTACACAATTTTCCAAAATTTATTGAACTGAACTAACATTTTATTGCAGGTTAATGAAATCTCGATTAAAACAAAAACATATTCTGTCATTTCTTCAGACTTAAGAAATCTAAGAGCTATTTTTCTCCCAAATTTTTTTTTTGAAAATCTAGTAATAAATTTAGGTAATTGAAAAAGCTTTTTCTTTTTATGGGTAAAATGACATAATATATGATAAATGTGAGATTTATTTTCAAATTCTCTAGCATAATAACAAAAAAGGAGGACTGATAGATGAAACAAGACTGACAAAATGTTGATAACTCTAATTTTGTGTAAGTGAGAAATAGTTATAATGAAAAGTAAAATTAAAAGGAAATGAAAAAGAATAGGGCAGAAAGGGAATTCAAGAAATGTTACCCCAAAGGGTTAACATGATTTTCCTCCTTAAAATCTCATCATGTAAATTTGAGGACCATCGACAGAAAAATTTCAGTTATTCTCAATTTTCCTCATAATTTTAGCTTTGTTTAACTAAGAAATATTGGGAGAAATTACATTTTCTAAAACTTGAGAATAAAAAGATGGAGTAAATAAAGTTCAGGTAGATCAGTGTGATGTTATTATTAGGTCAATACATATATTATTGTCCCCTCAAAAAATCTATGAAAATGTATGGTTCCAAGAAGATTTACAAAGCCAAAAGTACAGAAGCTTTAGAGGACTCGATACTGTGATGGAGAAACGACATGAAGAATAAATACAGAAATGTGCCAAATACTTTGGCAAACTTTTATGCAAGTTATAAATTTGTTTTAAGCTACAGAAACTAAATGATCACAGATTTTTCTTAAGCATCTTCAAATAGTTGAGTAATTTTAAAATAAGTTAGCTCCTTTTGTTAATGATCTACTTACTGTTTTACAAGAGAGCATTTCACCATAAGTCAAGCACGTGGACTTTGAGAGACAAACTGCCTGAATTTAAATCCCAGCTCCTCACATAGTGCTGTGGTGACCTTGTACTTACCTCTCCTAGTCTAACAGAGATAATAATACTACCTGTTATGAAAAGCAAAGGAATTAACGTATGTTGGTTGGCATTTAGGAAAGGTTTCATGATAGTTATGTTACTACCTTTATACAGCAACAATGCCCTAAGCCTTTTCTGGGCTCTCCATTCTAAATGTGTCATTTTTAAGGTTTCTAGAATTACTAATCTACCTTCCCTTATCCAGAAACCCTGGTGGTGTAGTGGTTAAGAGCTACGGCTGCTAACCAAACGATTGGCAGTTCAAATCTACCAGGAGCTCCTTGGAAACCCTATGGGGCAGTTCTGCTCTGTCCTATAGGGTTGCTATGAGTTGGAATCAACTCGACGGCAAAGGTTTTGGTTTGGTCTGGTTTTGTCCCTTATGCACAATTGGGAAAACCACAAATATTGAGGGAACTTAGCAACAGAATGTGATCTAATCCAAATTCATTTGACAGCAAAATCTGACTTCAGCTCACTTTAAGCTATTTATATTCCTTATTTATCCCTACTTAGCATGACATTTTGCTGAAAAAATATTTATATGCTTGTTCACTGTATTCTGTCCCAGCTCTGTATAAGAGTGTTATACACTATATGCTGTATGCACCATCAGGCCCAAGGGTTTCATGTAAGGGATAAAGGACCTGAACCAATATTTTTCAGAGTTCTGAACGTTTTAATTTACTTCTCAGATGCAAAAATAATAACAAAAAGACACAATTAAGTACCAAAGGAAATCCTTTAATGAAATCACTTAAGTTTCATTATTTTTTTTTTAAGCTCCCTATGATGATTGAGGAATACGGTCTGGCGGTGGCAATGGTTAAGCACTCAGCTGCTAACTGAAGAGTTGGCAGTTGGATCCCATCCAATGGCTCCATGGGAGAAAGACTTGGTAATCTGCTCCTATAAACACTGCAACCTAAAAAACTCTATAGGGCAGTTCTACTCTGTCAGATGGGATCGCTGTGAGTCAGAATTGACTCAGTGGCACCTAATAACCAGAAAAAGATAATTTTGGAGTCCCCGGATGGTGCGAATGGCTAATGCACTCAGCTGCTAACTGGAAGGCTGGAGGTTCAAGTCCACCCAGAGGTGCCTTGGAAGAAAGGCCTGGGGATCTACTTGTGAAAAATCAGCCATTGATGGAGCACAGTTCTACTCTGACACACATGGGGTTGCCACTGAGTCAGAGTCAACTCCAGGGCAACTTTTTTTTTGTTTTGTTTTGTTTTAAGTGATAACTAAGTTCTGATCACTCACCATTTGCTGGATAACCTGGTGTGAGAGGGTCTCCTGCACCATTAAGATTTAAGACATTTCCACGCTGGACACCACCTCCAGGAAGATTCCAACCATTTGGATAGGACTTAACCCCGGGAACAAAATAGTCAGCTGGGTCTGAGTACAGGATGACTCCTTTGGCACCGGCTTGCTGGGCATTTTTAACCTGTAAAACAGTGTCTTTCCTTAATGCAAGTTAATTGTTCCAGATTTGGTAATATCAATTTTCAAAATTACACTTTAAAAGTGGCCAAACATCATCTTCAATCTTTTATTGTAAGACCTATAGCAACAGACATCTCTCAGAGAATGTTTTTTTTTTCTTTTTCCCACTAAAATCGAAAAAACCAAACTTGTTGCCATGAAGTCAATTCCAACTCATAGCGACCCTATATGACAGAGTGGAACTGCCCCATCGGGTTTCTAAGGGGTGCCTGGTGGATTCAAACTGCTGGCCTTTCGGTTAGTAGCCGCAGTGCTTAACCACTACACCACTAGGGTTTCCTTTTCCTACTACAAGCTCTAAAAACAGGGTTCCAGAGCTTGACTATCCCTCAGAGCAGCAGGTTTGGGAAAACTTTCGTCTTAGTGGCAGTGAGCATTTGCTTCCTCCACTAGTCTAGAAACAGTCAGCAAGTAGACTGCACAGGCCAGATTCCCATTGTTCTATGGCTGAAAAATGAGCAATATATTTGAAATTTAATTCCCCATTTAAACAACAGAAAATGTGAGCAAATCAAGTAATAGCAATTTTTAAAGCTGTTAAGCATAATCAGTATAAATTATTGCCTATAATAGTAACTTGTATAAAAATTTAATTTAGTAAATACTTCCAGGGATAATATTTAAAATAAAAGTACTGAAGGTTATTAACAAACCCAGGGCATGCTTCTCCCCAGGCCACAGACATAATCTGTGGGTATAGAAAAATCTGCTCGCCCTCGGCTTCTGCCCTGGCCCAATTCCAGTGAACCAACTGAATACCCCTGCCTATAAGCTAGTAAATGCGTCCGTCCCTTAAGATGGGCACATTGTAAAACAGGAGAGGATCATGGTCCTCAGAAAGTTTTAAGGAGATGGTTCTTCACAGGCAAGAAACAATATAACTTTTTTATATTTGAGGAAGAGGGAGGAGAGATGACTTTTACCTTATTTCCTCTGAAAATTTTCCCATATCTGGCGATGACAATCTTCCCAGAGCAATTGATTTTCATGTCCTGCTCCAGTTTAAAGAAGTCTTTAGCTCGTGCATAATTAACATACACTAGATCACCCTGTTGAGATCAAGAATGATTTAGTACAAAAGAAGTTTCTCTGTATAAGGACTGTTTCGTATCTTTTTTTGTTGTCCTTAAATATGTGTATGTGTATATATATATATATATATAGTGTTTTAGGTGAAACTTTACAGAGCAAATTAGTATCTCATTTAACAATTTATACACAAATTGTTTTGTGACATTGGTTGCAATCCCTGTGATGTGTCGTTACTCTCCCCTTTCACACCCCATTTCCCCGTTTCCATCCGTCCATTTTTCCTGTCCCTTCTGCTTTCTCGTCATTGCTCTTGGGCAGATGTTGCCAGTTTGGTCTCGTATACACGACTGAACTAAGAAGCATGTTCCTCATGTGCGTTATTGTTTTATAGACCTGTCTAATCTTTGGCTGAAGGATGAACTTCCAGAATGGCTTCAGTTCTGAGTTAAAACAGTGTCCAGGGGCCATAGTCTCAGGGGTTCTTCCAGTCTCTCTCAGACCAGTAAGTCTGGTCTTTTTTTTGGTGAATTTGAATTTTGTTCTACACTTTTCTCCCACTCTGTCAAGGATCCTTTACTGTGATCCCTGTCAGAGAGTTGGTGGTGGTAGCCAGGCACCGTCTAGTTCTTCTGGACTCAGGCTGGTGGAGGCTGTGGTAATTGTGATCCATTAGTCCTTTGTACTATTATTTCCCTTATGTCTTTGGTTTTCTTCATTCTCCTTTGCTCCAGACGGGATGGAACCAGTAGATGTATCTTAGATGGCTGCTGGCAAGCTCTGAAGACCCCAGACGCTACTCACCAAAGTAGGATGTAGAACATTTTCTTTATGAACTTTGTTATGCCAATTGACCTAGATGACCCCACAACCATGAGCCCCAGCCCTCAGCCCCAGTGACTCAGTTCCTCAGAGTGTTCAGATGTGTCTATGAAGTTTCTATGACTTTGCCTTTGTCAAGTTGTGCTGACTTCCCTTATATTGTGTACTATCTTTCCCTTCACCAAAGTTAACACTTAATCTATTATCTAGTTAATGATTTCCCATCCCCAACCCTTCCCTCCCTTGTAACCAACAATTGTTTCTTTCTGTGTATAAACCTTTTCTTGAGTTTTTATAATAGTGGTCTTATATAGTATTTGTCCTTTTGTGATTGACTTTTTTCACTCAGCTATAATGCCCTCCAGATACATCCATGATGTGAGACATTTCGAAGATTCGTCATTGTTCTTTATCATTGTGTAGTATTCCATTGTGTGTATGTACCATAATTAGTGTATCCATTCATCTGTTGATGGGCACTTAGGTTGTTGCCATCTTTTTGCTAGTGTGAATGACGCTGCAATGAACATGGGTGTGCATATGTCTATTCGTGTGACAGCTCTTATTTCTCTAGGATATATTCCTAGGAATGGGATTGCTGGATCATATGGTATTTCTATTTCTAGCTTTTTAAGGAAGTTCCATATTGTTTTCCACAGCAGTTGGACCATTTTACTTTCCCACCAGCAGTGCGTAAGAGTTCCAATTTTCCCACAACCTCTCCAACACTTGTTATTTTCTCTCTCTCTCTCTTTTTTGCCAGTAATGTTGGAGTGAGATGATCTCTCATTGTAGTTTTGATTTGCATTTCTCTAATGGCTAACGATCGAGAGCATTTCCTCATGTGTCTATTGGCCACCTGAATGTCTTCTTTGGTGAAGTGTCTGTTCGTATATCCGCTGCCAGTTTTTTAATTGGATTATTTGTCTTTTTGTTATTAAGGTATTGAAGTATTTTGTAGATTTTACAGATTAGACCCTTGTCGGATATGTCATGGCCAGAATTTTTTTCCCTGTCTGTGGATGTGTTTCACATCTTTGAAAGAGGGAAGAAGCAAGAGCACACAACAGGGTCAGAAGTGCACAAGCCTCAGACAAGATATTCACAAGAGGAATTAAATCAAGATGGCGATTAGATGAATTAGAGGAATATGAATCAGTTCTGTTCATATTTGTCCCGTTATTAGCTGCTGTGAGCCTGTTCCAACTCATGGCGATCTTATCTACAACAGAATGAAACATCGCCCAATCGTGCTCCATCTTAATGATCTTTGATATGTTTGAGCCCACTGTTGTGGCTATATTGCTATCCATAAAGTTTTCATTGGCTAATTTTCAGAAGTAGGTTGCCAGGCCTTTTGTACTAGTCTGATTTAGCCTGGAAGCTCTGCTGAAACCTGCGTACCATGAGTGACCCTGCCAGTGTTCAAAATAACAGTGGCATAACTTGTGGCATCATACGAATGTGCAAGCTGCCACAGTACGACAACCGGACAGACAGGTGGCCGTCCTGTAGATAGTGGCTATAAAGGTATAGAAGTGTTCCTCAGAAAAATGCATATAAATATACACATACCCACACTGCTGTGTGCAATTTCAAGGGGTCCAGGCCATCCTAGGTTAAGTCTTCAGTTCCAGATAATTTCTAGTATTCTATAATTTTATTTATTTACTGTTTTCCTCTTTGACTACATTTTTCATACCATGTGTGCAACAAATTTACACCTGATACAAAATAGACTTATTAATCAAGCTGATTCTAGGATTTGTTTGATGAGTATTTCTTGAAGACCTAAAGTGTTGAAAAACAGATGTCACTTTGATGACTAAAGTAGGCCTGAACCAAGCCACGATGTTTTCAATCGCCTCATATGCATTCAAAAGCTGGACAATGAATAAGGAGGACTGAGGAAAAACTGATGCCTTTGAATAATGGTGTTGGCAAAGAATATTGAATATACGATGAACTGCCAGAAGAATGAGCAAGTCTGTCTTGGAAGAAATACAGCCAGAGTGCTCCTTGGAAACAAGGAGAGCAAGAATTCATCTCACGTCCTTTGGACACGTTATCAGGAGGGATCAGTGCCTACAGAATGACATCATGCTTGGTAAGCCAGTGGGTCAGCAAAAAAGAAGAAGATCCTCAATGAGATGGATTGACACAGTGGCTGGAATGATCAGCTCAAGCAAAGCAACAATTATGAGGATGGTGCAGGACCGGGCGGTGTTCCATTCTGTTGTATATAGGGTCGCTATGAGTCTGAACCGACTTGACAGCACCTAACAACAACAACAATTTCTTCCTACAACCAATGCAATATTAATGCTTCATTAATGATAACACTATTATGTCTGAGTAATAATTGTTAGCCATCTCTGGAGCTCACCCTTATTTGAGCACCTCTGGAGCTCAGCCACTTATCTGTGGCTACAGATTCATTAGTCAATTTAGTTTCAGTAAATTTGCTTTTCACGTAAGAGTTTTACTTGAAATCTACCCTTAGTTAATATTACTATCTTTTGGGAAAACTATTTCTTTAAATGTCTCTAAAATGTGGCTATATTTTGATAAAGTATCAATCCTGACAAAACAAATTATGATGGAGAAGGAATTGGAAGTTATTAGTTTAAAAAATGACAATGTACTCTGAAAATGAAAACAAGTATGATAGATAGGTCCTCTCAGCACTTCTCAAATACAAGTTTTCACTGTTAGTTAGAAAAAAGCTTTGTTTTCAGACAATGACCTTCTTGTACAGTTTACACTGTACCATTGTTCCATAACTGGGAATAAATACAATCTTGCACTGTTAACCTAGAATTTTCTCTGTTTCTTTCAAGCTCCCATCTTCCTGCCCTTGTTAATAGAGACAAAATTGAAGGACAAAACCAGTGATTCTCAAAGCATGGTCTTTGAACCAGCAGAATCTGCATCACCTAGGGGACCCTGTTAAAAAATGTATATTCTCAGGGTCCAACCAAACCTACTGAGACTCAGGGGGCAGGTTCACGAATCTATGTTTTACAAGCCCCTCTCCTCCCAGGTGATTGTGATGCATGCTTAAATTGAGAACTATTAGACTATATATTATGGACATTGTCAAATTACTAAATTCAAATGGCCTAAAGTAGAGCCCAGTATTTTTAACTCCAGAGTCTTCAAACGTAGATTCACTGATAGTGAAATATTTTAAACACACATACAAACATGCATATTTTTAAAATAGAATTTGAAAACCATTGGCTGGGTTACAGGTGATCCAGTGAAGCACATTTTAATCTTACAGCAGACAACCAACTCATCTGATATTTGAACACAAAAAGCAATCCTATACAGAGTCACATGCTCCATCTCTCCTCCCATTCATCTGGAAGAATTTAAGTCTACTTGGAAGAAATAAGAGTTATGATCTCTATGGCTGTAATTCTATCAAAGTCCAAAAATCCTTTGGGGACTTAACTGCTTATGCAGTAAACCTACAAACTGGATTTGTAGTGTTCTCCTTACAACATTCTGTCTTTCACTTGATCTGTTTCTTCACACATAATTTTTTCACTTCTCAGTAAATCTTAGTGTTCTTCACCTAGTTCATACTCATTTCACGTTAAGATATTTTAAATGTGTTTTTGTATCTTAGAGCTATTTTAAATTTTCTGCTATCATATACTACTTGTCCATATAGATTTAACTCCTATCTGGTAATTATAATGCTATTTTTTAAGGAAGATTTTATTAGTTAATTTTCTTTATATTTTCTGGTTATACAGACATATCACTGTAAATAATAAAAAAGGAAGGAATTACTAGATATATTTTCAATACAGGGCAACATAGATAAAGTTAGCAAACAGGTGACAAATTAGGAGAAGACATTTGCAATATTTAAAGCCAATATTGGAAGAATAACTACAATGTTTAAGAAACCCCTACAAGTTAACAAGAAGAAAACAAATTCAATAGGGGGAAAAAAAGGATGTAATTAATCATTTCACAAAGTAAAAAACCGAAACAGTTAGCAAATATGTTTAGAGACGATCAACCTCTATTTATGATCAGAGAAATGAGAATTAAACAATAAAACAATTAGATGGGCAAAAGTTTTAAAGCCATATAACTTCAGGTGTCGATGAAGATGTGAAGAAAGACAAATACTCATACATGGTCAGTGGGTGTATAAACTGCAACAGGATGGATTTTGTGATGTTAAGTATGCTCTAAAACCCAGCAATCCCACGCTTGGGTTATCGTCCACAGAGAAACCCTTGCAGGTCCATGTGGCGACATGTGTGAGCATATTCACTCAAACAATGTTTATGGTAATGAGCATTTAGCTGTTAACTGTCAAACTATGAGTCCATCATGGACAGAATACTAACAGAACACATGTTACATTCGGTATGCACAGAAGATGGAATAATATGCAACAGAGATAAGTAATGACTACCCTGACAAAAAGCAACATGTATGGATTTTTAAAAGACAATTGACTGAAAATAGTAAAAAACTGAGTAAGACCTAAAGTGTCATTCTACATCAAGCCCAAAATGAAGCTATGTATTTTCCCAACAATACATACATATCGAAGGACATACCTACATTAGAGTGAGTGTAGTGGGGAGGGGAATGGAATTGAGAATAGGGATGGGAGATAAAATAAAAGAGGGGCCTCACATGGACCCATGATGCTAGTGTGTCTTATCCTGAGGAATAAGACTAAGTGGCCTCAGTACCTCTGAGGTCTAAAGTATATTGCCTCTTGATTTCCAATTATACCCCTTATTTCTATTTCATGCCTCTGGCCAAAACATCTAACAATTATTAAATAATTATGATGACTGAAAGTATTCTTATTATATGCCTAATATAAGAATATCTTCTTATTAAATTAGAATTCCTCTAATATTATACTATTAAGTATGATGTTGACTCTTCATTTGAAGTAAATTTCATAGAAACAATAGAAAATATTCTGAGATTTTCTAAAATTAGTAATGAGTTGATAAAGTATATACATTTGAAAACCATTAAAATATGTTTTTATCTTATCTTGTAAAAATATGTCATTCCCTAATTTTTTTATCGTACTTTAGATGAAAGTTTACAGAACAAATAGTTTCTCATTAGACAGTACACATATTGTTTTATGACATTGGTTAACAACCCCACGACATGTCAACAGTCTCTCTTCTTGACCTTGGGTTCCCTATTACCAGCTTTCCTGTCCCCTACTGCCTTCTAGTCCTTGCCCCTGAGCTGTTGTGCCCCATTAGTCTCATTTTATCCTATGAGTCTGTCTAATCTTTGGCTAAAAGGTGAACTTCTAGAGTGACTTCATTACTGAGCTAAAAGGGTGTCGGGGTCCATACTCTCGGGGTTTCTCCAGTCTCTGTCAAGCCAGTAAGTCTGGTCTTTGTGAGTTAGAATTTTGTTCTACATTTTTCTCCAGCTCTGTCCAGGACCCCCTGTTGTGATCCCTGTCAGAGCAGTCAGTGGTGGTAGCCGGGCACCATCTAGTTGTACTGGACTCAGTCTGTGGAGGCTGTGGTAGTTGTGGTCCATTAGTCCTTTGGACTAAACTTTCCCTTGTGCCTTGTTTTCTTCATTCCCTAATATTAAACCATCTTTATGTCCTTGAAATAAAGTCTATTTGGTGAAGATAGATTTCTAACTATCAATTCAACTCTAAGTGCAAATATTTTACTTAGGATGTTACAGTGACAGTTAAACCCTTATCTCTCTACTGAGTAATAGTCTAATCTACCCAATTTTCCAGCAACAACTCCCTTGTGAATATATTCTAAGCATCTCAAACTCAACATGTACAAAATCAAATATACTTAATGTGGAATATTCTATTAGGAAAGAAGACTTTAAAAAAGATAATAATACATTACTATTCAGACTTTTCAAATTAAATTTTTTCACCAAAAACAAAGTACTGGGAAGGAATCTGGGGCTTGATTGTAAAATTACCGACAATAGGTATGCATGCCGCTTCACTGACTAAACCACAAAAAATTTTCTAGAATGGACATTCCTGGTTTTTATTCAAAATTGGCAACAACATCCTTATTCAAACTCTTTTGAAAAATTAATCAGTGTTCTACAACTGTAGTAACATATGTAGTCTATTCATACAATGGAAGTTACTCAGCAATAAAAAGGAACAAATTCCTGATAAATGACAAGACTGTGAATCTCACAGACGTTATGCTTGGTTAAAGAAAGCAGACACAAAAGGTCATATGCTTATATGCTATACAATTCCATTTATATGAGTTTCTTAGAAAAGACAAAAACAATCTACGGTGGCAAAACTATCAGAAGAATGATTGCCTCTAGGAGGGTGTAGGAATGACTGGCAAGAAGCATGAGGGGACTTAAATCAGTGATGGTTATATTCCGTACATTAATAAGGGTTTGGATCCCACAGGTGCATGCATTTGTCAAAAGCCATTAAATGTAAACTTTGGATCTGTGTACTTCACTGTAGTAATTTTACCTTAAAAAAGCTATTTAAAAAATCAATCTCCATATTTCTAACTAAGAACTTTTAGTTTCTTATCTAAATTACATGCACTGGAGAAAAAAATAAAGAAAACTAGAGAAATGTAGCAACTAATAGAGATTGTAACAACTGGGAAGATTTTTTTTTTAAAGTGAAAGCAATGTTTCTAAGTTAGTCTTAACACAGAACATCAAATGTGGAAAGAGGGTAAATTTGGATTATGTCAAAAATCGCCTTATAACCCTTTAATTATGATCTGCACATATAGAGGGAGGTTCTGTTGTTGTTTTCATTTCATTTTAGTTTAGTTTAGTTTTACCTCTGGCATTCCTTGTGGAGAGAAAGCACTGAAAGGTGGCACAACATCTGAAATATTTTCATATCCAGGAGGAGGTGGTTCAAATAATGATGTGTTGAAAAGCTAGAGTAAAAAAAAAAAAAAACAAACAAACAAAGAATCAAAAATAAATCAGTTAAGGCTTGATTAAACGACAGTCAAACAAGAAAAATACATACTATCTTTCTGTCACTAAGGGTTAATCTATCCTTTAGTATTTTGAGAATACATTATCAGATACTCAGCACTGTGCTAGAAGCTGTGAGGAGTTCATGAAATGAATAAATTACAGCTCCTGTCTTCAAAATGGTACAGTCTAGTTAGGGAGGCAAAGCTAATAAAAATACCATATCAGAATTACTCAAGTTGTTATGTTTTCTTATGCCTTCTTAGGAGCAAAAGAGCATAGTTTGGTATTTTCAAGTTGTAGATTTTTACCTATTTTGTGGTAAAGGATGAATTTAGTTGGAGGTTTGGGGGTTAAGTTGAAAAAAGTCAACAGAAAGAACAGAAACTAAATTAAACTTGTAAAGTTTGTAATATAAAATGAAACAATTAAAAAAAGACAATTATTGACTTCAGGGGAAAATAAATTGTGCAGAAGAGTAAAAAGAATCTCAGTTTACTATATGGCTGTGAATAGTTAGTCCCAATAATTAAACTACACGCTGCCATTGAGTTGATTCTGACTCATAGCAACCTCATGTATTACAGAATAGAACTGCTGCATAGGATCTTCTTGACTGTAATATTTATGGAAGCAGATAGCCAGGCCTTTCTTCCTTGGTGCCACTGGGTGGGTTCAGACTGCCAACCTTTAGGTCAGCAGTTGAGCTCAAACCATTTGCGCCACCCAGGGAACTTGTGGTCAGGGTACAGGGATGAAGTACAACCAAATCATCATCGTGTCAACAAGCAATGCGTAAACGTGAAAAGAAAGCAAAAAGAGCACTATAAACCCATTATTTAAATAAATAGAGGTAAACATCAAAGTATCAACTGAAAGTTGAATAGTGATTGCCTCTGGGAAGAGGAAATAAGAAAGAAGGAAGGCCCTTTGGAAAACTACGTGATTCTTTTTGTCTAGATGTAACTTGGATAAAATAAATACCAAATAATGGTATAATTTTAAAAATTTAAGAAGCTTTAGGCAGCTAAGACCATTAGGGAGAATCTCCAAAATGAAACTTACATATGATACTTTTTATATTGTGTCAAGCTTTATGAATTACATAAATGCTTGTAATAGTAAAAGTGAATAACAAAATGAAATAATAAAAGCAGTAGTATGTTTGCAATTGGGAGGTAAGGAGGAAGGAAAGGAGAGGAGAAATGTAGGTTTTCTGTTTTCCTCATCGTACACAGATAATGCTTAAATTTGATGGATCAAAACTGAGGTTTAAGTATACATACATTTTTTAACATTGTTAATATTTTATATCATTAAATGCTTTTCCTAAACATGTTTTTAAAAATCTCATGGTGTTTAATTATATAGATATGCCACCATTTATTTAATAAATGTTACAGGGCTATATGATGTATATTGGCATTCCTCATATACTTTTTAAAATACTTTTTTATTTTGGAACATATTTGATTATACTTTTTAAAGTTAAGCTGTTAACGACTATAATTTAAAATAGTGGCTAATATGGAAAGTTTGAAATGACATTAGGAAATTTAGCAATAATTACATCACTGACTGCAAAACATACCAAAATATTAATCATTTAAGAAGAGACTGATAATCAATACGAGAGATGATTGACATATCATTGTATTTTGAAATTAATATATATATACATACATATTGAAATCACATGATGGTTTCTGTTCACTGACCATGCTGGACATATTTGAAGCTATATATAATTCAGGAGGCTCAGCTAATAAAAGGAAGCTATGTAACAAAAGGAGCTATTCTAGATATGATAGCTTTAAAAAAAAAATCCCTATGCTAAATAAGGATGAATATATGAATTACCATGATAAGAAATATCTTAATCTCTTGAATTATCTTCTCTTTTTCAAGTGTCTGCTTTAATTTGAAAACAAGATTGTAAATTCTTTTGAATAGATATCGTTCTATAGACCTCCCCCTCAAGCCCTCCTCTAAACCATCTTTCTCTCCAAATGACCATACACAAGTTCTTGGTATAGAACTGAGCACATAATCATGTGAGAGACATTATCATTGAGTACCAATAAAAATCTGCTGACTCAAACTATTCACTCAGTCTCTGCATTTCCTAGCAATCCAAGTCTATGCAATGTCTTCATAATTCAAACCTATCAAAGATGTAGTTGGTCTTATTCTAGTTGCTTGGAAGCTCACTAATATATCATATTTGATGGGATTAACATTGGTGTGCAATATTTAAGATACAAAATAGCATCTGCCATCAAGCAGTAATTCCTCAGAATCTATCCAACATTATATTAAATTCAATTACAGTCATGCACCGCATAACATCCGTTCGGGCAATGTCCAACCACATATCCATCCACGATCCCATAAGGTTATATGTAAGTCAGAATAGTTAGGTACAGTTTGTATCTAACATCAGTTAGTCAAATGTTTGTCTTAATATATAGTATATAGTGTACCTTTCTATGCATAAAAAACATTAAAGAAACACTTCCAGAAACACTATAACATCTTTAACATGATAATACAGTAATAATAATAATGTTTTGATGTGTATCTCAAATTAGTGCCCATTTGTTATCAGGAACCATTATATGTACCTCAAATTTTTAATATAGTAGGCTTTATGGGGGTTGGTTAGTAACTACGGGTTGTATGTAAGTTGGACGTTCATAACCGAGGAATTGCCTGTATATAACGTGGTGTTCACACAATATCCAAATCACATAATGTCTTACTTTACAGAATGTATCATGGACGTTCAGTGATGCATGACTGTATAAGAAAGTAGTCAAGATTGGTAATAAGTTATTAAAAATGTCATTAACAATTTTCAGTAATATTGATTTCTATCAATATTTTCAGATGGGTTAAGAAGTTCTTTCACAGAAAGTATTTGAAAATAATAGATATTGGGGAGAAGCTTTCTTTTATTCTTTTTTTTTTTTACCTCATTTCCATCTTCATCAATTATTGAGATGTAGTTGGGATTAGTCTTATTGGGATAGGACAACAGGACATCGTAATGGGCTAACTCAACAGAATCCAGGCCAAATTCTTTCCATTCGGATTGAATTTGCTTTGCAAGCTGGAAGTTTTGTTCCGTTCCTGCTAAATGTGGTATCTGTGTAAAATTACTGGTGGACAAAAATTGAAAGTGGTTAGAAATCAATGTTTAGATCAATGTTTAGTCAATCTTTATCCTAAATCAACAACAAAATAAGGCAGACTTACATTTAAAAATACTTTGAAAAGTGATAGGTAAAAAAGAAAGAGTGGTATTTTTGCATCAAACAGATTTTCAAAGCCTGTTTTGAAATGTTCATGCTCTAATTTGTACTTACTTAAGAGAAAAACTGAACAAACTGATATTTGTAGAGCCTTTAGTGGTGCAGTGGTTAAGAGCTCGGCTGCTAACCAAAAGATCGGAAGTTTGAATCCACCAGCCACTCCTTGGAAACCCTACGGGGTGGTTCTACTCTGTCCTACAGGGTTACTATGAGTCAGAATTGACTGGAAGGCAATCAGTTTGGTTTTCTTTTTTGGTTATATGTGCAGTCCTGTTGACATACACCATATAGCAGATGAAGAAAGTGTCATATTCTTTCCATAAATCCCATATATCTTGGAGCTTTCGCGAAATTATCTGTTTCTTTGCTTGTATAAGATATATTTGGGAAATAAAAAATATTTTCATCCAAAAGACCAAGCTGAGACATAATAACTACTGAGAATTACATTTGCTTTCAAATACTGAAAGTTACAGGCACATTTGAAACCAATTACTAACCATTTAGAAATTGCCTTATTAAGGAATAATCTAAACATATGGGCACAAGCGCAGACTCCATCAATCATGCACTTAAAATTAATGAAGAGAATTAGCGTGACAGGAAATATCTTTAACAAAAATGCTATTCTGTATGTGGCCAAAATTTTGGCTACCATGTCTTGAGTTCTTCATCTGTACATAGGGAGAATATCACCACCTCACTACTTCACAAAAATTTGAGGCTCAGTGAGATAACTCACATTAAACAGCAGTTACTTTTTTTGTTTGTTTGTTTTAATCATTTGGAAAGTGTGTTGCAAATAATTTGTTGCTAATACTATAGAATATCAAATTTTATTTAAAAAATAGTAGGAATAATAATTTAGGAATTATCCAAAACAGCAACAAATGTTTTGTATATTCAAAAATATTGCTTATATATACTTTTCCCGATTGAAAAGTTTAAATATAGTCGAAGTATCATTTGAAGCCTGTTACATACGTTATATCATTTCATTCATAAAGCAAAGTTAAGGAAAGCTCTTGGTATTCCTGTTTTAATACATCACATCTGGTTTACAAATGACAAGACTATGCTTACAGGGGTTACGTGACTTAAAGTAAAAGGTGGAACTAGTATGCAAATGCAGACCAGTGATATTCTGCGGCACTCTGTCTAAAACACTCTTCTAAAATAATTTCAGGACATGAGGGAAGAAGGAAAGGCCCTCTAAAGAGATGCAAAACAGTGAACAGATCTGAGAATTCCACTAGGTGTTTATAGAACATAAAAGAAAACATAGGATAAGCCTGGACCGCAAAGGTGACTGAAAAGGCAGCTTCTACTTAACATCCTCAACCCAGAGGCAGATAACTCACATAGGTAGTAGGGACCTTTAACAGCAGAACAAAAGATCATAAAGTGGGAGAAGAGGGAAAGTTGGAGGCTTCTGATCTATGGACAAGGGTGAATCATCCTGTAAGCACAGGCTTAACTTCTGCTTATTTACTAATCTGTAGTATATAACTTCACATGGGTTTCACCACATCTTTGAAATTGTTCACTACAGATTTTTAAGTAAGCACAAGTAAGCCCATGCTTACCTTGCTTACTGGCAGGGACTGTAAATTTGAAAAGGGGCTCTGATTCTGTAGGAAGGTGCTGTGGGGTTGGGAGAGACAGATGACAGCCAAACCCAGAAACAGAATCTTTCACTGTGGTTAAAAAAAAAGAAATTGTTCACTACAGATGATCTGATAAGCTAGGTAAGCACCGTGCTTACCTTGCCTACTGGATAATCCGCCCCTGTCCATGGTACATATGGTACATATCGATTGGAAGCTCTCTGATGTATAAATGACAAGTTGCAAATCTGGAGACTCCTAGAAGCTTCTAGAGATTCAGTCATCCTTAGAGGGATGAGTGGAGGTTCTCTTAATCTCTTTGTGTGTAAGTGTGTGTTAATGGTGAACACCTTTGAGTTCTAAGTAGTAAGAGAAACTTATAGAGGGCCGTGGAGAATAAGCAAAAACCAGGCTGCTTGGGTCTTGCTCAAGAGTCCAGAAAGAGAAGTAAAGAAAGGCATTCTTTTTTTTTCCCTTGTTGGTTAGTCCATGTCACGGGTTGGGAAAGGAAGAAGAAATCAGGGATGCAGCTATTTCTAGGAATGAAGACTACATCTCTTGGACCTTTATTTTTGTTATACCTATTACACATAACTACAGTGGAATAGGAGGGTCTGAGAGGTGCAAGCGGTTAATGTGTTTGGCCACTAACTGAAAGGTTAAAGGTTCAAGTCCACCCAGAGACACCTCGGAAGAAAGGACTGGTGATCTACTTCTGAAAAATCAGCCACTGAAAACCCAATGGAACAGTTCTACTCTGACACACATGGGGTCACCATGAGTCAGAATTGGCTGGACAGCATTTGATACTAGTACTGGTCTAGTAGAATAAGGGCAAGAGGCAGAGGTGGGGTTTCCATAAAGATAAAGAAGTTTAAGCTTCAGGGTCTCCAACCTGAGAGAGCCCTTCCAATACCTCAGGAGATATCCTAGCAAATTTTTATTTAGAATTTTAATTCTATTATAATCAATAAAGGCATATATATGTGTGAGTACGCATATTATCTTTTTATATAAAATTATAAAAAATCAAAGAATACTATTATGTGACACATGAATGATAAACCATTCAAATTTCAGTGCCCATAAATAAGATTTTATTGGAACAGCCACACTCATTTGTTTATGTACTTTCTATGGCTTCTTTTGTGCTACAATAGCAGAGCTGAGTAGCTGTGACTACCAGTTGGCCCACAAAGCTCAGCCCTTTACAGAAAAAGTTTGCTGACTTCTGTTCTAAAACATCAATAAAAGTGAAGTTCACCTGAGAGCGTATTCCTCCCCATATAAAATGTGATACAATAAGACCCCCAAGAAATAAAAACCTAAAAAAGTCAGTTCCTCACACCTGAAATTTTCCATCAAAACTTCTGAACAGAATTTTTCCCAACAAATTGTCCATAGCAACTTTCAAGTATATACTTACAATAAGAACTTCTTGATGTTCCCAGCTTTCAATTCATCCAAAAATACCTTTTTCATATTTTGCTGTGGAACAATGATAGATTCATTGGAGGATTTTATAAACCACCCTGTAAAATACATCCAAACAGATGAATGAAATACAAGCTCATAGGCAGATCTTATTTTTCCTTATTATTATTGTATCTACCATATGTGAAATACAAAATATCAATTATTTCTGGCATTAAGTGAGATTTTTCTGAATTTTAATTTCTCTTGCCTACTTCCATTAAAAAAAGAACATGCACTCTTTTAAGAACTGTCTATATGAAATTAAACTGACAACAGCAACTCGAAAGATTCAATAGGAAATCTAAGGGACAGTGAGTTTATGTTAACAGGGGAGAGACAATTCTAAAAAGGAGGGTGAGAATGACTGCACAATTTAAAGAATGCAATCAATGTCACTGAATTATACAGGTAGAAATTCTTGAATTGGTGTATGTTCTGTGTGTACCTTCTCAACAATGAGAAAAAAATTATTTAAAAAAACAACATGAAGACTGCTTTTTTAATTATAATATGATTACAACATATTAAAATATATTTTCATCCAATTTTAGAGACAGGTGTTGCTGTTATTCTCCCTAAGAAATGTTTCATGAGGAAATCAGCGCTAAACTTAAATATGGTATTCATGTTTCACTTTATGGGGATAAGCATGATCTGTAGAAAGTTAAGGCAAAAAGGAGATCCGCCTTCTTTCTCCGTGAAGTTTCTCCGTCCAGTGACTGCTCCTCTGCTGGCCAAGAGCAGGCATTTAATAAACGTTTATAATGAGTTATGAATATATCTCAAGTACATAAATTATTTCAAACAGTCGAAAGAAACTCAGACTTCACATTTGCTCTGGTTCTGAAACTAAAGTAAAACGTGCTGAGATTTTTTTTCCAGCTGAAGTATAAAAAAAAAAACCCGAAAAACCTGTTACCATTGAGTCGATTCCATGACCCTAGAGGACAGTAAAGCTGCCCTCATAGGGTTTCCAAGGCTGTAAATCTTTATGGGAGCAGAATGCTACATCTTTCTCCTGTGGAGCAGCTGGTGAGTTCAAACCCTAGACCCTTCGGTTAGCAGTCGAGCACTTAACCACTGTGCCACCAGGGCTCCAGCTCCAGCTGAAGTAGGCTTGAGAAATTCCGAGTCAGAAAACTGCAGTGAGACTACAGTTCACCCAATATCTCTGCAAGGAGCCCAGCTCACAGAGAAGACCAGAGGCAATGGCCGGCCAGATCATACAGAGCCTTGGCGTTTACACTAAGGGAAACGGGACCTCATTACAGAGTTTATGCAAAGAAATGATATGATCAGGGGATAAAATGATTACCAAAATCAGCGAGCTCTCCTGGAACTTCGTAGTCATTTAATCAAATGATCACATGCACACATACATACATGCACACATACATAGTGAAATGAATGGTTCAGAGCTAAAGAAAATAACATTCCACTTGGGCGTAAAACAGAATCCACAGCAAGAGTAAACTGCCTGGCAATACCTTAACCTAGTCCTGTGCATAAAAGTCCACTTAGGAGCGTCTTGTCTTCAAGAAAGAATAAAGTGCCCACACCCCAGCACTGTGCTAGGAGCTTTACATTTTATTTCATTGCTATTCCCAATAAATTTCAGATAAACGACCCTCACCATAAAGAAAGGGAAACTGAGGCTTAGAGAAACTTGGTAACTTATTCAATGCAACTAACAGAAGGCAGAGTCAAAATCAGAAAGTCAAAGTGTGAGCTTGTCTGTGCTGCCCAGATCTTCTTGGAGAGTTGGTTTAACTCTGTAAATCAGGACACGGCAGCGATGTACAACACCTGTTGGTAAGGATCTATTTCAGAGCCCTCACAGTAAATCTGGGGTCAAAGAAACATTAACCCAGTTTCCAAATGTGCCTCTTTGCTCCCAGGCTGAAAGAATGCAGAGAGAAAAAGTCCCCCATACAGCATGGCCCTGAACTCTATCGTACACGTGAAGTAGTCCCAAGCACACGACTCCATAAAGATCCTGAACAAGTACGTGCCGCTTTGAGCAAAGCTCCCTGGACCACCTGGTTCATGTGCCCGAAACATCTGCTGCTAGTTTAACAAAGTAGCTACTTCTTTCAAGGCTTGGGCGGGTGGAACTTTCTGAAGCCCAGTTTCAGGAATTCATAATTCTACACCTTACCCTGGGGGTCTGTCCCACAAGTTACTGGTCCAGAATCAAATCTGCACCGTCCCCAGGAACTCCCCACCTAACTAGTGGGGACTCATCCTCACATTTCTCCAACCCAAAATCGCTGCCCCTTGGGGAGAAAGACGAGCTTTGGTGGCGCAGTGGTTAAGCGCTCCCCTGCTAACCTAAAGGTGGGCAGTTGGAACCCACCAGCCGCTGTGCAGGAGAGAGACGTGAAAATCTGCTTCCATAAAGATTTACAGCCTAGGAAACCCTAGGTGGGGCAGTTCTACCCTGCCCCATAGGGTCGCTATCGACTGGAAGATAGTGGGTTTTTAGTGGGTTGGAGGGAGGAGGGCAACAGGACCCAATTCAGCAGCCCGGCCCGCGTGTCCCCGGAGCCGCGGAACTGCCGGGCTCCCCACGCCCGCGTATGCGCGGGGGTTTGGATGGCGAGTGCGTCCCTACCGAAGAGGAAGCCGAGGCCAAACAGGCCGCCGGCCAGCACCAGCGCCCCAGCGCAGAGCCTGCTCGGGCGGCGCCAAGCGTTAACGGAGGAGTCGGTGTCTTGAAGGAGATTCCACATCCTCGCGCGGGTCTGGCACCCAGAGTGCGTCCCTCGACCTGCAGCTCCGCGAGGCAAAGTCTTCCTCTCCCAAGTGCCTCTATTATCAGTTACTGGCGGCTGGAATCTGCTCCCTGCGGAGTCTAGTTTCTCCGCCCTGAAAGTATTTCTAGCTTACTCTGAACCAATCCTGGCGAGAGGAAGGCGATATTTGCCATCAGAAGAAGAAGGAAACCCAGCCCCTTTTGAGAGGTACTTAAAAAAAAAATTTTTTTTTTTTTTTTTTTATTTAAGAGAAACGAGGAAGGGAGGTAGAGAGGGAGGAGGGAACTACTCACCTCTCTCCACTCCCAGACCAAAATCTTCATTCCCAAAAGGAAAACAGTGCTGTCCATACTGGCTGAAAGTTTTGACTTACTAATATTGCTCAGAAATGAAACCAGCATTTTCATCCCAGCTGATAAGGGCTATAAAACTGTCTTTCCAACAACCTATAACACTCGTCTGCACTCAAGGAAGAATGAACAAATTTGAACGGGAGCGCGTTATCCAATAGGCAAGGTAAGCACAGGCTTATTTGTGCTTACTTACTAATCCGAAGTGAAGAAGTTCACGTGGGTTTCAAGCTTACTGAGTAATTCATCCCTGTCAGGGATAGTAAAGTTGAACAGGCTTTGATTCTGTAGGAAGGTGCTGTGGGGTTGGGAGAGAGACAGATACCAGCCATACCTAGAAGCAGAATCTTTGATGGTGGAAAAATGTGAAATTGTTCACTACAGATGATTTGGTGAGCAAAGTAAGCACTGTGCTTACCTTGCCTAATGGATAATCCACCCCTGAATTTGAATTTTAGTCATACTGATTATTAGGAAGGTCAAAATACACTCCATTTGGTGTCTAGTTTGACTGAAGTTCCAGGAGTTCACCATCAGGAGCTCAGCTGGCCCAGGCAAGCCCAGAGCACAGCCTAAGCCCTTCATTCTCCAGGTGGGAAAGGAGCAGCTTCAAGCTTCACTAAGAGAAGTGGCTACATGGAGGAGTTCGAGCCCTAGGGTTGGGGGAAGGTTTTGAAGACTTACCAGGCATAAACCCCACTGTCTTAGTTATCTAGTGCTGCTATAACAGAAATACCACAAGTGGATGGCTTTAACAAAGAGAAATTTATTCTCTCACAATTTAGGGGGCTAGAAGCCCAAATTCAGGGTGCCAGTTCCGGGGAAAGGCTTTCTTTCTCTGTCGGCTCTGGGGGAAGATTCTTGTCCTCAGTCTTCCCCTGGTCTAGGAGCTTCTCGCAGGGACCCTAGGTCCAAACAACATGCTCCGCTCCTGCTGTTTGTGCTTGATGGTAATGAGGTCCCTTATCTCTCTGCTCGCTTCTCTCTTTTATATCTCAAAAGAGATTAACTCAAGGTACAGTCTAATCCTGTAGATTGTGTCCTGCCTGGTTAACATAACTGCCTCTAATCCTGTCTCATTAACATCATAGAAGTTAGGATTTACAACAGATAGGATAATCACATCAGATCACAAAATGGTGGACAACCACACAATACTGGGAATCATGGCCTAGCCAAATTGACATACATTTTTGAGGGACACAATTCAATCCATAACACCTACCAAGGAAGATGCCAGCGCTGCAGCCAAGCACACACAGAGGTACAGACAGCCCCTGGCCTTCGCCATGCCTTCTTCAGGACTGGGTTTGGGGCACCGGCTGCCGCTGCAAACCTCAGGACTGCAAACAAACAAAAACAGAGGCACCCAGGGACACAGGGAGAGTTCAGGTTGCCACAGGGCTGGCTGCTGTCCCTGGCCCACCACAAAGCCCACTTCTGCCTTCCTGATCTGTCCTGGGCACAACAAAAAAACCCTGTCGTCCCTGTGGACTCTTTTTTTTTTTTTTTTAATTGCTTTAGAATTTTATTTATTTATTTTTATTTTTTCCCATACAAAAACTTATACATACTTTGTTATGTGACCCTAATTGCTCTCCCCATACTGTGACAGCACACTCCTCCTTTCCACCCCTGATTCTCCGTGTCCATTCAACCAGCTCCAGACTCTCTCTGCCCTCCCATCTCACCTCCGGACAGAAGCTGCCCATTTAGTCTTTTGTATGTAAGAGGCACACTCCTCACGAGTATCACTTTATGTCCCACAGTCCAGTCCAATCCCTATCTTAAGAGTTGGCCTCGGAAGTTGTTTTAGTTCTGGGATGATAGAGAATCCAGCGGCCATGCTTTCCGAGGTACCTCCAGTCTCAGTCAGACCATTAAGTCTGGTCTTCTTACTGGAATTTGAGTTCTGCACCCCACCTTTCTCCTGTCCATCTGGGACTCTCTGTTGTGTTCCCTGTCAGGGCGGTCATTGGTGGTAGCCGGGCACCATCTAGTTCTTCTAGTCTCAGGCAGGCTGATGAAGTCTCTGGTTTATGTGGCCCTTTCTGTCTCTTGGACTACTACTTTCCTTGTGTATTTGGTGTTCTTTATTCTCCTTTACTCCAGGTGGTTGGGACCAATTGATGCATCTTAGATGGCCTCTTGCAAGCTTTTAAGACCCAAGACACCACTCACCAAAGTGGGATGCAGAACATTTTCTTAATAAGCTTTGTTATGCCACTTGACCTTGATGTCCCCTGAAAACATGGTCCCCAGACCCCTACCCCTGCTACTCTATCCCTCAAAGTGTTTGATTGTATTCAGGAAACTTCTTAGCTTTGGTTTATTCCAGTTGTGCTGACTTCCCCTGTAGTGAGTGCTGTCCTTCCTTTCACCTAAGATAATTCTTGTCTACTATCTAGTTAGTGAATAACCCACTCCCTCCCTCTCCACCCTCGTAACCATCAAAGAATGTTTTCTTCTGTGTTTAAACCTTTCCTTGAGTTCTTACAATAGTGGTCTTATACAATATTTGTCCTTCTGTGACTGACTAAATTCACTCAGCATAATGACCTCCAGCTTCCTCCATGTTATAAGGTGTTTCACAGCTTCATCATTGTTCTTTATCATTGTGTAGTATTACACTGTGTGAATATACCATAATTTGTTTATCCATTCATCCATTGATGGGCACCTACGTTGTTTCCATCTTTTTGCTATTGTGAACAGTGCTGTGATGAACATGGGTATGAATATATCTATTTGTGTGACAGCTCTTATTTCTCTAGGATATATTCCAAGGAGCAGGATAGCTGTATCTATGGTACATCTATTTCTAGCTTTTTAAGGAAGCGCCAAATTGACTTCCAAAGTGGCTGTACCATTTTACATTCCCACCAACAGTATATAAGTGTTCTAGTCTCTCCACAACCTCTCCGGCATTTATTATTTTGTGTTTTTTGGATTAATGCTAGCCTTGTTGGTGTGAGATGATATCTCATTGTAGTTGTCATCTGCATTTCTCTAATGGCTAATGATTGTGAGCATTTCTTCACATGTCTATTAGCCGCCTGAATATCTTCTTTGGCGAAGTGCTTGTTCATATCCTTTGCTCATTTTTTAGCCGGGTTATTTTTCTTTTTGTTGTTGAGGTTTTGCAGTATCTTGTAGATTTTACAGATTAGACGCTGATCGGATTTGTCGTAGCCAAAACTTTTTCACAGTCTGTAGGTTGTCTTTTTACTCTTTTGGTGAAGTCTTTTGATGAGCGTAAGTGTTTGATTTTTAGGAGCTCCCATTTATCTGGTCTCTCTTCTGGTGCTTGTGCATTGTTACTTATGGTTCATACACTGTTTATGTCATGTATTAGGGCTCCTAGCATTGTTCCTATTTTTTATTCCATGATCTTTATAGTTTTCGATCTTATATTTAAGTGTTTGATCCATTTTGAGTTAGTTTTTGTGCATAGTGTGAGGTATGGGTCTTGTTTCAGTTTTTTTGCAGATGGATATCCGGTTATGCCAGTACCATTTGTTAAAGAGATTGTGTTTTCCCCAGTTAATGGACTTTGGGCCTTTGTCAAATATCAGCTGCTCATAGGTGGATGAATTTATGTCTGGGTTCTCAATTCTGTTCCATTGGTCTATGTATCTGTTGTTGTACCAGTACCAGGCTGTTTTGACTACCGAGGCAGTATAATAGGTTCTAAAATCAGGTAGTGTGAGGCCTCCCACTTTGTTCTTCTTCTTGAGTAGTGCTTTATTTATTCGGGGTGCTTCCTTTTCCATATGATCTTGGTGATTTGTTTCTCCATCTCATTAAAAAGTGTCGATGGAATTTGGATCGGGATTGCATTGTATCTGTAGATCGCTCTGGGTAGAACTGACATTTTCACAATGTTGAGTCTACCTATCCACGAGCAAGGTATATTTTTTCCTGTGGACTCTTAAGGGAGGAGAGGAAGCCCAGCAAGGGAGGGGAGACGTTATTCCTGTTTACAGGCAGCTTCCATTTTGTTGCCCCTGCAGTAACCCAAATGTCCCTACTGGTTTCCTGAGGAACTTTCCTCATCCTGCTTTTTGCCACCCCCATCCCAGGAATTGCCAAATTTTGGCTGTGAAGTACATATATAAGTACTACCTTTAACCTTCTCTGTTGATTATGTTGTTGTTGTTGTTGTTGTTGTTGTTCTTGTTGTGCCATGGAGTCACTTCAGACTCAGAGCAACCCTATGTACAACAGAACAAAATACTGCCTGTTCCTGCGCCATCTTCATAATCACTGTTATGCTTGAGCCTATTGTTGCAGTCACTGTGTTCATTCTACTGCTTTCAAATTCTCTATCCTTGTTTCTGCCTGGTCAAACTCAGGAAGTATTTCTGGTCTTGTCTTTCCATTATAACACACTATTTCCTCAACCAAGCATCAGCATCAAAGCTGATTGGATTGAGTTCTTTCTTTTTTTCCCCTTATCTAACAAGTCTCTTCTGTAACTCGGTTTCTTCTCTAACTGGAGTTAATAATACCTACCTCACTAGGAAGTTGTAGGTTCAAATTAAATAAGATTAACCCTTGAAAGTGCCTTGTACCATTACTGACAGTTTCTTAACAGTTTATCCCCTCTGACCTCACCTTCCTATTACACT